GGAACACCGCTCGCCATATCTTTTATTTTAAATTTATTGGACGCCATTTTGGATGTTCAGCTCTGAGCACCAAGACACCTGAACCTATCTCTGCCTCACAGCCCCTTTAGCGCACACCACACAATTGCATTTGAACAGCTAGCGGCACCATGCAGCTTCTGCTCCCCGCCATCCGTCTTGTGGGAGGGGGAGAATGGGCTGCTCCTTATCTTAAAAATTCAGTGCTCCAGGTGACACCCAGTTAGTCCCTCCCACGCTGAAAAGATGGGACAGGCAAAGCAGCGTGCTGTTGGAAACACAGAATAACAATAATAATCATTATTGTTTCTTAACAGCCAAACGATCTAGGCACAGTACCAAACAGAACTGTAGTCTATGGACCTTGCCTGCAGGCTTATGATCACGGGATTGGGAGGGACCTTGGAGGTCATCCAGTTCAACCCCTGCTCAGTAAAGGACCTGCGGTGTAGGATGCTGACTCCAGCATCCAGTCTCTGCTTAAATGCCTTGAGCAAAGGGGAGCCTACTGTTGCACATCCCTTTCCATTAGAGGACATTTCTCCTAGCATTTGTCAAAGTCTGCCCCCTTGCCATTTCTGCCCTTTAGTTCTATTCCTGCCACCCTTGAGTTACAGAGACCAGGGCTGCTCCACCTTCCGTGAGATAGCCCGTCATCTCACCACCATACAAGGAGACCCGTGAAGTATTATGCTTTAGAAACAGCAGGGCTGGATATATTGACGTTTTTCTATGTTTTATTTATTAAAGATTTTGCTCGTTTACAAAACACAAGCATTGTCTTTTTATTCAGGTTGTGTTTTCCACAGATCAGTTATATTTGTTGTGAGACATTGGTGTTATGTGCAATATAGGTTGGGGAGAAGGGGGGGGACTGGAGAGAGGGTGGGGTGGCAAAGCTTATATTCTGTATGCGTAGGGTTTTTGTGTCAGCATCACTTGGGTAGGTTCTCTTTCTATTCACTTGTCTTGTTTCCTTGGTGGTGAGAGAGGTTGGGGTGGCCTAGGGTGTGGCTGATTCCTTAGTGGGCTGCAGTGGGCTTTGTTGTGCATGTGTGAGGTGGGGTGAGTGGGTGGGTGTTGTTGGGTAGAGTTAGCCATATTGAATTGTATGCTATGTGTGATAAAGGGGAGCCATAGCAGAGTGAAGTCTTCTATTTCTCCCTGTGTCAGTTTCAGTCTATTGGTTAGCTTTTCTAGCTGTTCTAGGCTGTTTCTTTTTCTTTTCTATACTTTATATATGCTGTAAGCCGCCCAGAGTGGCTGGAAACCCAGCCAGATGGGTGGGATAATAATACAGTGGTACCTCGGGTTAAGTATTTAATTCATTCCGGAGGTCTGTTCCAGAGGTCTGAAACTGTTCTTAACCTGAAGCACCACTTTAGCTAATGGGGCTTCCTGCTGCCGCTGCGCCGCCAGAGCACAATTTCTGTTCTCATCCTGAAGCAAAGTTCTTAACCCGAGGTAATATTTCTGGGTTAGCAGAGTCTGTAACCTGAAGCGTATGTAACCCGAGGTACCACTGTATTTTATTTATTATTATTATTATTATTATTATTATTATTATTATTATTATTTCCTCCAGCATTTCAAATATGAAAATGGGGTACCCACAACACACTGCCTTCCTGATCTCATCCCATTGAGTACTGTAGGGTGGGGGGGGGCTGTGGCCCTCAATGTGCTGTTGGACTCCCAACAGCCCATTCCATGACCAAAGGTTAGGAATGATGGGAGCTGTAGACCAACATCTGGAGAGCAATGCTTATATTGCATTCTTTTGTTTTGCAAATAGCCCATCTTGATTTAAACAAACAGTTCTTCTTTTAGTTAAAGGTATATGCAGGGGTAACCTGTCCCATCATGTTATCAGCAGTTCAAAATAAATGTTACCCCCTGCTAAGTGCAAAGTGAATATGTGTGTGCTTTTGCTTGCATGTGCACTAGAGACAAGAGTCATCTGCCCTTCAGATTTTCTGGCAAGCTGGAATCTGGGAAAAAAGCATTCCTATTAGCAAGATTGTAAGAAGCCCTCCCTACCCACTACCCACCCCATAGCTCACCACCATCTTTGCACAGGCAGAACAAGGATTTGCCAGAAACACAAAATCTGGATTTTCCTTGGTAAAAGGGAGTTCCTGGAGCCTAGGAGCTTACGGTCGGGAGTCAGTCACGTGCATTACTTCTTTTAATAAAACACTGCACATCTTTTGAGACATATGAGTGACTCATGGGAGTCCCCAGGCTCTTAAATTGCAGCAGCCCTAAGTTCAGAAGTACCAGCCATGTGAGAAGAGGAAGAAAACAGCTCAGAGCAGCAGCTGAGCAGCAGGAGCCAACATCATTTGCCTCATCACAGAGAGAGCAAAATCATTTGGTGCAGATGAAATCACCTTCATATATATATATATATATATATATATATATATATATATATATTTGTCCACAAAACCCAGCTGATTTTCTCTTCCAAATCTGTCTTTAGAAAAATCAGCTTAGACTAAGCAGATGTGTTTGTTTTCAATGCTTTGGTTCTAAACGCTTGGACTTTTGACTCAAGAGATGTGTGGGCCAGAGGACCAGGGGGTACCAGGAGCTGCCATGGACTCAGGCCCAAAGCACTTGGCTTGGGACAGTCAACCACAACTGGCAGCAGCTTTCTGGAGGGACAGGCTCAGTTCTTCTGTCTTTCAGCTTAAGATCCATGGAATTGCCAGGGATTGAACCTGGCACTTCTACAAGGGGTGCATGTGTGCAGAGGACCCGCACTTCCAAAAGCGCCCCCATCCTCCTTTTGCTGCATCACAAGAGACTTTTATACTCTGCAAGTACCATTTACAATGCAGCAAAAGAAGGGGAATTACAAAGACTTTCTTGTTGCAGTGGGCATTTTAAAGTGGTTTTTGGTTTGATAATGACTTTTTATTGTTTTATTCTCTGTATGGTTTATTTTTACATACACCACTTTGAAATGCTAATGATTAGTGCACACACACACACACACACACACACACACGGCTGGGAAATCAGGGAGAAAGTATGTGTGCAAAAAAATTCTTTCTTACAGCCATTGTGTAGAATGAGTCCGCTTGAATTTATTGGCACACAAATATATTGATGTCATCACACTATCTGAAAAGCACTGACTTCCAGAAATGGAAAGGGGCCACCAGTATGCATGATTCTTTCATGGACACACATAGGAACTACCGTGCAGTGTTATCCCAAGTTGCAGGTATGCAACAGCTAAGGTTCCTTGCCAGAAGCCATGAAAGTTCAGGCTGGTACAAAACAGAGAGACATTTATAGTGTAGATGGGCCCCAGAATCCTAAAATTGGGAACGGAGTAACCCAAGGTAACCTGCTACATTATTCCAGCATCCCAATTTTGTATCTCACAATCCTGCCTGCATTTCCTCAGCATGTACGTGTCATCATTTAAGCAGATAGGCTTAATTAAGCCTTGTCTAAAACAGTGTTTATCTGAAAGCATGTTTACTTGGCGTGATATATTAGTTTAACTCGTCATAGTTTATTCTTCCTACATGTGGTTAGGAATACAAGGAGCTGCCTTATACTGAGTCAGACCATTGATTCATCCATCCCAGTATTGTCAACAAAGAGGCAGTGGATTTCAGGCAGGAGTCCCTCCCAGCCCTACCAAGAAATGTTGGGGCTTGAACCCGGGAGCTTCTGCATGCAAAGCAGAGCTAAGGCCCTTCCCAAGATGGACCAGAAACAGTCCAGATGACTGCTGCCTATGACAGATTGTTACCAACATATAACCAGCTGTACGCACTCCACTATATTGCATTAGTGGAGTGTATTAAACTTTTATTGAATTCCATTCTTCAACTGAATTAACACAAATATTTATTTAAAAGACCATTCCCTCCCCACCTCCCCCAAATCTATCCACAGTTCTGGAGACGCTGAATGAGCTTGAGCTCAGTTTAAATTGCTTGTGGATTTATTCCTGGTTGATTCTTCCTTTGTATCAGGGGACTTCTTCCAAACACCAACTTTCACCTGATGTGCTTATCTTCTTTCTTTCCTGGTACAGGATACGAGTCGTGAAGATGCCGTATTTTGCTGTGGACAATTGCTGTATCAGATTTATAAATGAGAGATGCTTCCTTAGTGTGTGTCATGTGTGGTCTTTATCAAACCATTTTTCATCCTCCCTGCTTTTTTCTCTGCTCCATTTATATTTTGCAACTTGGGTGGCTTCAGATTTTTGGAGGGGTGGAGGAGGTGAAGGTTGCTTTCTGAGCTCAGAATTATCGATAGCAAACTACCCATTACATACTTGACAATGTCCCATCAATTACTGCTGTTGTGAAAGGTGAATGCTTATTTTGCAGATTTTAAAGCTTTACGTGAATTATTACCATATATTTTACATTTCATTGTAAGTGTGCTTTTTCTCTTATACACCTGGATGTATAAAAGGATAAGGCATCTGATGAAGTTAATTCCAGCCTACAATAGTAGGCTCTACATACTCAAAAGCAAGCCCCATTGAGTTCAGCAGCACTTTCCCTTGGGAAACAGGGCAGGATAGCAGCTTTTGTCTTTAAGGTGCCACAAGACTCTGGTCCTGCCACAGACTAACACAGCCATCGCTCTAGAATTTAATTTTCAACTACGCTTTGTATTATTTCTTTAAGTCAGCTGTCCCCCATGCTGGCTGAGGCTGATGGGAGATATAGTCCAAAACATCTGAAAGACACCTGATTAGGGAAGGTTGCCTTAAAATATCCTTGCAGCCTGCTGGGATTTGTATTATTTTATGTACATAAAATAATAGGCCATCTGACAACTAAAAAGATCTCTGAGTGGCTTACAACATTGACTGTAAAAGCAGGAGCATGCAATTGTCATCTGCTATTACTTGGCAGCCCAAATGAGAATATTTTCTCTCTCTCTCTCTCTCTCTCTCTCTCTCTCTGTGTGTGTGTGTGTGTGTGTGTGTGTGTGTGGAGAGAGAGAGAATTAGCTTATCTCATGTCTATGGACAAATATACAAGTTGTCACTGCACACTGTTCTCCTTTAAGCAGAATGAGATAGGGCAGCAGCAGATAGGACAGAGGACAACCAAACCAATCTACAGTTTAAAACTTTTCAGATATAAAGAACAACTGCAGATGCCACAGTATAAAGTGAGTGCTGCACAATGTGAGCTACTACAGAAGGCTTTAAAAAAATGGGTGGGTGGTTGATAAAGCTAGGCATGTAGAAAAACATTACTGAGAAGGAAGAGTTTGTACCAAACAAAGATGCACCCCCAAAACAGTTCATCAGCACAAGTGGGTTTATTAATTTATTTTAATCCCCTGCCTATTTGGGCCACCAAATAACTGCAGATGACAATCCCGCATTGCAAAACCGAGTACAACTGGCAGCAGGGCTGAAGGAGATAAGGGAATGAGTAAGAGTTCACCTGAAAAGAGCATAAATAACCAAGTGCAGAAAGAATAAACTGGAAAAAGCAGCAAGATGCAGATGAATGGAGTGAGAAATCCTAAGTAGAAAGAGCAGTCGGATGTGATCTGACATGGCAGCCTGTAGTTTGACTAGAAGCATATTTGTATTACTATGCCTTAGAAGTGTTGAAACAGTCAAGCATGCCGTAGACTTTCTGAGTTGAAAGTAAATCTGCTTAGCAAGTTATCCTTTCCCCCTAGATTAAGATGGATAGGTTGTAGCTTTTGCATATGCAGTAGTTAGTTTTCCTTTTCATAAACGCTGACAGCTTCATAATAGCTTTTTCCCTTTTTTCAGAGGGCTGGGTGCGTGGTCGGGGGGGGGGGGAAATGCTACTGAGAAGTACATAATCATGCATACATAGACTCTCAGAACTGTAGAGTCGGAAGGGACCGTGAGGGTCATGTAGCCCAACCCCCTGCAATGCAGGAATCTCAACACATGGCCCCCCATCCAATTTGAAACCAGTTTAGCTTGGCAAATGTGCTAGCAGTTTTAGTGCTTCACCCTTGTTTTAATTGAGTTCTGCAAATTCTCTCTTAGCGTTGCTAACCTTCCGTCCCACTGTCACTGCCAAAGGTGACAGTAACCAGGAAACCCCTAGCAGGCAGCAACCGCCTGAGCATCAGGCTTCCACCAGCAACTCCCTCTTCCCCCCCAACTTTTGCATAAAGCATACATTTGCCTATGCCGCAAGCAATAAGCACAAGAGCTATGTGGTGTTTGTAACTGTTGGTGGAAAGCTAGCCAAGAGCACCCCCACGTGGAGAGAAGCTGACACTGCAACTGAAAAAGCACCAGGTCTTCTGCAGAGAGGAAGACAAGGAGACACTGCCACCCACTTCACACAGCAGGGAAACCTTGCCAAGAGCACGACAAACTGAGAAGGGCCACAACTCAGTGGCAGGGCACCTGTTTTTGCAGGTTCGATCCCCGGCATCTCCAGATAGGGCTGGGAGTGGATCCTGCCTGAAACCCTGGGGATCCACTGCCAGTCAATGTAGGCCAGAGTTTTCCAAACTTGGGCCTTAGGCTGTTTTGGAACTACAACTCCCATCATCCCTAGCTAGCAGGACTCAGTGGTCAGGGATGATGGGAACTGTAGTCCAAAAACAGCCAGAGACCCGAGTTTGGGAAACTGATGTAGACTATACTGAGCTAGATGGACCAAAGGTCTGGTTCATTATAAGGCAGCTTTATATGCTCCTAAAAACAGCAGAGAAATCACTGCTTAAGCACAAAGACCACCCTGTTTTTTGGGGGTGGGGGTTAGAGTAAAAAGAGCGTAACAATCATTTGGTAGGGGTTGCTTTATTATTGGGTACAGCAAAATCCCAGACGGTCGGATCAGTCCTGTTAGCAGCAGAGTCCAGGGGGATTAGGGAAGAATGCCAACCGAAAGAGAGCAAGAAAATGACAACAAATCCAAGTGCAGAACAAAATGCACCTTCCCGACCATGTGCCCTCTCAGAAGTGCCACCAGCCGGCCCCCAAAGAAGCACTGGGGGTGGGGGTCCTGCAGGGCTTGTGGGGTGGACAGAGCACGAGGTGCAGGCAAGGCCAAAACTTGGTTCAGCTTAGCCAGGAGTGCTCCCTGTGGGTCCCACAGACAAATACGTGAAAGGAGATGGAATTGCATACAAAGGTTTGCATATTTCTTACACGAGTGAATCCAGCTAAGCCTGGAGATAAAGAAACACGTAGTTTCTCTCTCTCTCTGATACACAAGGGAGTCTTACTCTTTGTGCCAGAGCAGGTGTTAGCCGTGTTCCAGTGCTTTAAACCCAACACAGCTTTTGTACAGATTGGCTCTCTCTCTTGGGTGAAGCATCTGAACCCATGTCCAGCTTTGCCTGTGTGTGCATAGCTGTCAAAACGGGGCCTCTGAAGACCCTTTGGAAAACAAAGCAGGTAGGGCTGAGTTGTGATGGGAAAGGGGATGCGGCAGCGGGTCTTGTCCTATGCTTAATACTTTGGGCTGGATTCTGATCCTAAGAGAGAGAGAGGGCAGAGACCAACAGTGTGACCCACATAAGCCAACAGTCATATTGGTTTGCATGGGGGGGGGAGAGCAGGGTACATAACCTCGTGTCCTCCTAATCCAATCCCCCAACAGAGAGGAAACCTGAGCAGATGGAGAGAGAGGAGAGCACAGAAAATTCAAGTACAGCAGGGACGAGGATCCCATGGCACTCCTGCTATTGCAGGACTACAACTCCCATCATCCTTTGCCCACCCCCTAGGGCTGATGGGAGCTGGAGTCCAACAATGTCAGATGAGCCACAGACTTCCCCTCCCGGAAGTAGAGGCTTAAGGGAGGATACAAATGTCAGGGCTGCACCAGGCAGCAGAAACAAGATGGTGGTTCCAACCAGCTTCCCAACAAGAAGCCGCAGGGGCTGTGCCTTATCCGCCTGGGGTTCCTGTGGCACCAATCAGCCCCAGAGCTCCCTGTATCATTTGGCCTTCAGAGTCTCTGGCCTGCAGGTGCAACAGGCTGCCTGGCTCCACAAATATTGCAGTGAGGGTAGCGGTGGAAGGAGTCCTGTCCAGAATGTCCTATAATAAATACTATTTACATTGGCCACCCACAGCTCATATGCCATGTGCACCCCAACCAGGAAGAGGACGATATGGAAGGGCGCCGGGGAGCCATTAATACCGGTAGCGCTGGCTACCCACACAAAAACAGCTGGTTAATGGCACAGCGGCATCCTGTGGCTGTGGCTAGGATTGCGGCTTCAGTCCTGCGGAGGGCGCTGTGGGCCTGGGGAAGGCGGCACAGGCCTTGCTCTGGTGTCACCAGTTGGCTTTCACGGCATTGATGTCGCTCACGAGGTTCTGTGCCATGCAGATACCAAAGATCTGAAATACAAGGTTGAGGATGATGCACGTTAAAAAGAATGAGAAGCACTTATGTACATGCACACAAGCACTATACAAAGCTGGGACCATCAGGAAGGATATTGATTCCATCTTTTCACAGCTCTCAACTCAGTATTATTACTGCCACTCACAGGGGAGAGGGGGAAGTCTTGGGCAGTTTTGCCTTTGAAGTACAATGGCAAATAGAATGAGAGGCAGGCACAGAAGAGAGAAAAGGCAGTTCGAGGTGGAGTGAGTGCAGGATCCCCACTGCAGATGTCTGCCTTCCAATGTGTGGAAGACGAAGGGGCAGGCAATGGGGATGCGACAGAGGGGCAGAGCTAACAAGCGCATGCCTGCCTGCCCTGCCTCCTCGCACAATAGAGAACATGTGAATTTAAGTATCTGAACAAGGCTTGAATGGGCTTGGGTTTGGGATGCCTTTTTTGCGGGTTACTGCTTTACAATATCGAGTTCAGAGGCACTTTATCCTGCAAAAACAACCACCACCTCAGCTTCACAACAGCAGCAGCAGCTTATATACCTGGAGCAGTGCAACGCCCACAAAAGTCCCGGCTACCACAATGAGATTGTCCTGGAGCCATTTCTCAAACTGGCCAGCACATCCTTTGGTATGGATGAAGCTCTGCTGCTCCAGCTCCTGCAGAGAAGGCAAAGGCAAGCGGGTGAACAGCTCTGGAAGTAGAGATGCATTGAACCATCTTCTGCCCAGAGACGAGGGAACCACGTCAGCCGGAATGCTACAATCCTCTGTGCCCAGTGGCAAAAATAATATTTGCTCTGTGGCCACTAGTCCCAGCCCACCCCAACCTAGCCACTTGGTCCCACTTCTGCAGTCCCCCATTTAGAGCATGCACAGGCCCACCCCTTGCTTTATTATTTCTGCCCTTAACCCAGAATGTTAACTTGTTCTGTTGCCAGTTGTGCCTGGTCCCATGATGTGTCTTCTAGGAAGCACATCTGCCTAGTTCCTCCCACCCAGGGCCCAGACATACCAACCCAGCTCTCACCAGTTTAAGGCGGACATCATAGCCACACTGCGTGTTGAGAACATCCTCCTGCGGAAACAACAGACCCAAAGCTAATCAAACCATACTGGAAAGCTCTCTAACCACTTCCCTGAGAAAGGTCTCACTACTTTCCCCCTAAATCTCTCCAACACTTGGCTTTGCATGACACACCTTCCCAAATACCTCAGCTGCAGCCCTTGGTTCCGCCATCTACCCCCCAACCCAACCCAATTTAGCTGATGAAACAGAAAGTTGTGCCCGTCCAATCATAAATATTTTGGTCTAGACTTGGATCATTGTATTTTTAACCTGGCCTCCTATGTACACTAGGTGCAAATGTTCCTGGACTCCATCAGCCCCAGCCAGCATGGCCAAAAGTGGGGGCTGATGGGAGTCCAACAACATCTCGAAGGTCACAGGTTCCTCATCTCTGCCATTAGGCAATGATTCATACACTTGAGCAATTGCTCTATTAATGTCTCAGCTTAAGCGTGCCCTCCATAGGTCTGGAGCGAATGAGCAGCAAAGAATTCACCCTTGTTCCTGAGGTTTAAGGCCTATTCACCACCCCTCTCCTTTTAGCTCCTTACCGCAGGGTCCTTGACACAGCAGGAGAAGGGCACCCCACAGCGCTCCCTGCTGGGGTTGGAGTCAGTGCAGTTGAAATAAATGTTGAGGTTCCAGTCATTAGGGCCATGAGCCCCACAGCAAGACCACTGTACAGGGAGACAGTTTTAATCAGTGTTAAGTGTCCAGCAACCAATTACACACAGAAACACCAATGCTGCCTTCCTCAAACAGGTGCCCTCCATATGTTTTGGACTACAGCTATAGCTATTCTTGACCACTTTGCCATGCTGGCTGGGGTCGATGGGAGTTGGGAGTCCATCAACATCTAGATTGGGTAAGGTACAAAAATGGACAAAATGGATAGATGTGGTCAGAAGGAAGGGCCTGTTGCGGGCAAAATATTACACAGCAGGAGTGGGGAAATGGATCTGACCCATGGGCTGAATCCTTATCTTCTGCATCCCAGAAGCCTAAATTTGAAAGGTGGGTAGGACTGTCCACCTGCCAATCACCTGATAGCCCAATGGTGTCACGTGACCTGCTTTTGCCCATGTTTACGATCAGCTGATCGGCAGGGCTTGCACAGGTCTGTGTGCTGCACTTTATAAGCACAAACAGAGCATTGTGCACAGGGCTTTGCAAAGCTCCTTGGGCCCAGCTGCATCTTTACATGCTCTGTACACGAGGTCAGGTGTAGGGAACCTAGGCTTGGCTTGGGCAAAATAGTGTAGCAGGCCAAATTGGGAGACCCAGCTGATCTAACTAGGCCCACGGGCAGGACGTTTCCAACCCCGGCTATATAGTATGAGGCCTTTCACGGAAGACAGCACAGAGTACCTGTCACTTTAGGATACAGGCTGCAGGAAGCATTTCTGCAACCCTGCAGCTTCATCAACTGCCACCAGATGGCAGAGTCAGCTCTGGTGCGTGCTTGGTAAGCATAACCACTCTAATCCCATGGGGTGCAGAGGATGCTTATACACTGGGTACCTAGTAATCTGGAAACACCATGCGTTGCTCACTCGTTTGTCATAGGTATCTATGTTAACACTGTCATCACATCACAGTTCTCCTTCATTTTCCCTATGTTTCTTCCATCTCATTTCTGTCTGCAGAAAATACAACTTTTGGGAGAAAGAACATGCCAACCAGCAGCACAATCTCCACAGGTGGCCAGAATGGCTTCCCAAACAATCATGTGCGCATGCAGGGTCTTTCTACACCACGGCGCCTCACACTCCACCAGCCCTAGAACAAACAGATCGCTCAGGGCGATCGTACAACTCACATATTCCTGAGCAAAGTCTATGAGGTTCTGCAGGTCGATGTCATCGCGGTAGGCCTTGACGTTATTGTTGATGAAGAAATTGAGCTGATCTTTGATCCAGTCCTTGAAGATGAAGGCCAGGACACCAGCCGTCAGCTCCAGGAAAAAAATGAGCCCCAGGAACACAGAGAACTAAGGGCAAAGCAGAGACAGGTCAGAGAGTAAGGCAGGGGGATCCTGGGGATGTCCAGGCAGCGCATGGCTGCAGGATAAGGATCGCCCTCACATTTATCAGATAGTCACATCTCACAGGGGAAGTAAGATGCCCCGAGAACTTGTTTGTTAAGGCAGATTATAAATACAGAAGAGTAAGAAAGACAGTAAGTGTCTCTTAAATCCCACTAAGATATCAAAAGGGACATGGGTGGCGCTGTGGGTTAAACCACAGAGCCTAGGACTTGCCGATCAGGTCGGCTGTTCAAATCCCTGCAACAGGGTGAGCTCCCGTTGCTCAGTCCCTGCTCCTGCCAACCTAGCTTTTTGAAAGCATGTCAAAATGCAAGTAGATAAATAGGTACCGCTCCAGCAGGAAGGTAAACGGTGTTTCCATGCGCTGCTCTGGTTTGCCAGGAGTGGCTTAGTCCTGCTGGCTACATGACCCAGAAGCTGTACTCCAGCTCCCTCGGCCAATAAAGTGAGATGAGCACTGCAACCCCAGAGTCAGCCACGACTGGACCTAATGGTCAGGGGTCCCTTTACCTTTACCTTTACCTTTAAGATATCAAAAACCTAAAAATGCTATGCTAATACTCAATACAGTGGTGCCTCGCAAGACGAAATTAATTCGTTCCGCGAGTTTTGTCGTCTTGCGATTTTCTTCGTCTTGCGAAGCACGGTGTCGGGAAAGTTTTGGAAAAGCTTCAAAAATCACCAAAGTCTTTAAAAACCTCAAAAAAGGCTACCACACCGCGTTCTATGAGTTGCTCCTCGAAGTCAAGTCGCAACTGTATTAACGGTGTTAAGAAAAAGGAAACAAACTTGCAAGACGTTTCCGTCTTGCAAAGCAAGCCCATAGGGAAAATCGTCTTGCGAAGCAGCTCAAAACACAAAAAACCCTTTCGTCTAGCGAGTTTTTTGTCTTGCGAGGCATTCGTCTTGCGAGGTACCACTGTACTAGTGCTGCTCACTTCCTCTGAAACTTCTGAAATAGAAGGAAATCAAGGGGTTATTACAATATTTTCCCCAAAGGAAGGTAACAGAGGTTAAAATGCAGCAGCAGCACTAGGAACAGAATGCATGTATTCCAGTTTCATTCCCAACCGTACTTCTCATTCTAACCTCCATAGCCCACCCAAAAAATGTTGGCTCCCTGCTCAGTCCTTCCATTCCAAGCAGTACATCTAGTATTCCTTCCCCAGCTTGCCCTGATCTTCCTTGTACTATCTAGGGAAACCCCTGATTGCAGTTGGCCCTCCATGTGCAGCAATGCCTGCACTCAGCCTCCCTCCAGGCTCCAGCATTAGCTCCTAAGGCCCAAAGAGGCTGAGACAGAAAAGACCCCACTCCTAGGTATTGATGCGCTGCATTTTGCCAAGCTGAGATCTGAGCAAGAGGTGTCCAGCTCCCACCACCCAGAATGGGAAAGCAGGAAGACCCAAAGACTTACAAATTTGAGCAGGAAAGTGTTTTCCCTCAAGGCTCCAATGCAGCCAGCAAACCCCAGGACGAACATCACCCCTCCGACCACAAGGAAGAGCCAGACAGGGTCAAAGCCACCCAGGTCTGTGATGGACGACAGGTTGGAAAGCACGCCCTGGGGGGAGAAGGGATGGATGACTCCCAAGTTCACAGCACTGATGTGTAACACTTTTAATGCTACGATCATGTAAATCACAACAGTTATTACAGCAAATGACTCACTGGTTAACTACTAGCAGTAATAACCGTAACAGAGTGAAGGTCAAACTACCTGTTATGTTATCGAGGCTTTAAAAAAATACGAGCTGTGCGCAGTAAACTGCCCCTTTGGGGTCAAACAGTAGGAGTGGGGAGAGAGACTAATCTCAGGAAGGAACTGGCTGCTTTTTCTTCAAAGCGGAAGTGGCTGATTTAAGCCCACTTTTGTGAATCATGTAACACAGCCTTCCCCAATGCAGTGAGCTCAGGATGTTTTCAGACTCCAGATCACAGCACCCCCAGCCATCACGGCTGCAGAGGGCACCAGGTTGGGAAAGGCAGGTGCGGTACCTGCTCTGAAGAGCTAAATACTCTTTGAGAAGATGGAGGAGCAGGTAGCAGAAAGGAGACCGTCTCTTGTCTTGCCATGTTCCAAGAGCAGAGCAGGGGAAGACAGGAGTCTGTTTCCAAGGGAGCGCATCACCATGGACACACACGGAATAGGAGTTTTATTGCAATTTATAGTAATATTAGTGGTAATGCACCAACACTGCTTCTCCTGTGGCTTATATGGAAGCTACCTTGCAGGCCAGGGACAGCAACAGGGTTAGGGTGTGTGGCAACGACTCGCTGAGACAGCATTAAAACGATTAGACAGATTCATGGGAGATAAGCGTAGTGTTGGATATTAGTTCTTATAGACAAATTGAGCCTCCCTGGACAGCAGCAGCATACCTCTGAACAGCAGGTGCTAAGGACAACAGCTGAAGGCTGGGGAGCTCCCAGAAGCACCTGGCTGGCCACTGCTGGAAGGATATAGGATGCTACTGGACTAGACGGACCCTTGGGTTTGATGCATCAAAAGAATTCTTACATTCACATGTCCATTATTTAGATTCAGAGGAGCTGGCACTTTCCAAAAGCCACTGGATACAAGAGACATGAGTCCCTGCTTAGATGTAACAACAAACCATGGTTTACTAATTATGTCTAAACTAGGCTCAAAGGGTGCTGGGTGATTCCAACCTCTTGATGCTTTTGCTCTAACCCCACCCTACATCTTTGGGATACAGGAGAAGCAGCTAACCCCCAGTCCAAGGGGCTGACGTGGCCAATTTGGGTAGCAGAAGTAAAAAACGGGGGGATTGAAGAGGGCAGTAAACCCTCCTCTTCAGCTGCTCTGCCTGGATCAGTTAAGGAGGGATGTTGTGTGCCTCTCAGTCTCCCGCATGTGAGCGTGCATGTGAAAGTGTGTGTGAGAGAGGGAGTGGCCAACCCTGTTCTGGTCACCTCCACCACTGGATTGGCCAAGGGTAAATGTGGCCATTGAACCAAAAAGAAAAAAAGGTCAGCCACCACTGAGATACAGAATCTGCTACCCACAACCATTTCCCACCACTGCAAAGAACAGGAGCATCCTTCTTTGAGCATTAGGACCTGACATTCACAAGTCACAGGACTCAATATTTCTTCTTTATTGATAGGACACACGCATTCTCTTTAGGATGATTTACTGGGGTTAGAAGTGGAGGTGGGAAGAAAACGAGGCTCTCAGTATTAATGTGCAGTGACTTTAGGGAGAGGAAGGGATTTGCTGTAAATACCAGGGGAGTTATCCTGCAGAGCCAAGTACAATAAAAGTGATGTTTCGGAGTGGGAGCTCTGCTGTACGTGGGTAAAACAGCTTGTAACGCAAGGAACCAGGGTTCAGAATGGAAGCAGGCATTACTGCAGTGTACCCTAAATCGATCACCTTCACAAAGGACTAGTAAACACATGCAAGCACATCCCTTGATTTTTCAATAGTGGGCAGCCTGAGCCGACTCAACTGAAAAGCGCCGTATTTGAGGTGATGTCATGTCATATGAAAGGCGCGTCTGTGGTCATAAACTCTGACAGACAGCTCATTTCAAACATGCAACCTGTCACCTGGTATTGAAGTCCTCAGTTTGCACATAGGCCTGCTGTATACCTGATAAGGACTTGAAACTTGAAAATTCAATTTGATGTATAAGCTGGCACCACAAAGATACTGGGCAGGATTCAACTAACAAGTCTCGCTAGTGGAAGCCAGCACAAGCGCTCCTTCTAGTGCTTTGGGGCTTTACCCCTACCCCACCCTAAAAAGGCTCAAGGGGGTGTTGAGAGACCCTGCAGAATGACTGCCATAGCTCTATGGTGAATTCCTCCCACTGGATGGTATTCAACTAAGTTTTACTCCGTCAATCTCCTGAAATTTATAGGCACAACTTAGTCATGTTCATTAATTTCAGTGGGCCTACTCTTAGTAAAACGTGGCTGAATACCACCCATCTTACCTGGAAAACAGGAACACTTATTTCAAAAGGATTCAAGCCCCATGTTAGGAGAAAGATTCCTGCATTGTAGGGAGTTGAACTAGATGATCCTAGAAATACCTTCCAACTCTACAGTTCTATGATCCTATGAAACTTACATCCAGAAGTGTGTTTTAAGATCATTGCACAAGTCTGTATTTTCAGTCCAACATTGAGTCCTTAATAAACTGAAATAGAGGATCTGAGGCCTGGATCCAACTAGCCTGGCATGCCAGCAGAAGTCAGAGCAAGGGCTTACAAGAGTGCAATTGGATTTCTCTCCCCCCATCCCACCTTCACCTCCCCCAGATCCACTCTGGAGGGTCAGGGTCCCCAGAACACTGCATGGAAGAGAGAGGAGATAATTTCACCCATCAAGCAGAAATGCTTGTGCTGACAGAAGCATCAGAGAAGTTGCAATGCTGAATCCCTTCCTTGGTGTTTCTAATGAACGTCGCTCGCTGGTGAACTAGAGTATCCTTGCCTGCTGGAAGAAAATGATTGGTTACCTCAGCTCACTTGTCAAGAGCTGGCAGCACAGCTATGTGCCACAAAGCGCTCAGAGGCAGAGGCCTGTCAATCACTTGTCCTTTTCACCTAGACAGAGGGGATAAGCTACTTACTTGGAGAACCTGGGTTAGTTTACAGGCATGTTCGTTTCAGGAACCTAACGCCACGGCTAAGAGCACTAGAGCCATCTATAATCCCGAACGCCACTGAGAACATTAAAAAGCACCAGCCAGAAAATTCATCATTACTATGGTCCAAGGCAGCAGCCACACTTACCTTTTCTGCCCAGGCCCACAGACCAATGGCCAGGAAGGCAGCCCCCAGCAACTGAAAAAGAGGAACGAGCACAGTGTTATGGAGAACACAGCAAGGAGGAGGAGCACACCCTACACACATTACAGGAATCTTTGCACCAAATCTGTTGCATTGTTGGCATCCATCTGTCTCGAGAGACAATGGAGTGCGCCTCTGGGGGTGAAGATAAACCACTGGAGAATTACAGTGCCTGCTGTGGCTGCAGAGACCAGTAACTTGTACAGTGGTACCTCGGGTTAAGTACTTAATTCGTTCTGGAGGTCCGTTCTTAACCTGACACTGTTTTTAACCTGAAGACCACTTTAGCTAATGGGGCCTCCTGCTGCTGCCGCGCTGCCGGAGCCCGATTTCTGTTCTCATCCTGAAGCAAAGTTCTTAACCTGAAGTACTATTTCTGGGTTAGTGGAGTCTGTAACCTGAAGCATATGTAACCCGAGGTACCACTGTAACGGCTGCTTCCTGCTGCATTAGCAGCCCTGAAGTGGCCTCCCTTGGGCAGAGTGTATGGAGGTCCTGGACTAACCAGATGACAAGACCCCCCTCTTGGCCTTGCTGATGCGGTCCAAAGAAAAGCAGAGCAATACATTTGGCACCAGCTTGGCTGCAGGAGTTGCCGGAAAGAGGTGTACAAGGAGCCATCCAACCACTTTAGGGACCCCATTCTGGATTTGTGTAGGGTTTACTCCTTAGCCTTTTCTTCTCCTAAAGATGTCGCGCAAGGGAGTGGGTAATAAGTCTACCAGGATCCACTACACCATTTGCCTCCCATGCAAAACACACAGCAATCTCCCATGTGCTGCATAAACTGCTGAGAAATAACATAAAGAAGTATTCATCTTCTATCATCTTCCACGTGGCCTGAAGCTTTTAGAGTCAGTTAAGACCTGACAAGGTATGTTCAAGTTCCCCTAGATGCAGGGGATCAATGAGGACCAGGCTAGGTGAAGATGTTGCCAAGGAACTGCACCCTATCCCACCAATGGGACATCCAGTCTCTCCAGCACCTCCTCCCCAATGCATGCCCACTTCCAAGCACTGCAGCCACCTGCAACTCATTAGCAATGCATGGCATTTCCCAGGCATGGCAGCATGATTGAGACTGCAGGAAGAATTCAGCATTGTGCTCTTCTAATTGTTCCATCAGCGCAAGCATCTCAGCTTGCCTGACAGAACGATTCCCCCTCTCCTCCTGCTTTGTGCTGTTCTGGTGGTTCTCCAGAGCCAATGGCGGGTGGGGTGGAAGTGCAAGGAGGAAGTCCCGTTGCACTAACAGGACTCTGTTGTGCTGGCTCCTACAGGTGCATGAACTTAACTGAATCCATCCCTAGGAGTGATAGTGCCTTTCAGTGGACTTTGGTTAGAGGACCAGCAGGACCAAAACAGTGTGTATCCTCTTCTGATCTGAGTCCCAGAACCTAGCAATCAGATAGGCCTATATCCTGCCTGGGGAAAAATTCTAAAAACCTAAATTTTGAAAGTGGAAACATTTCATATTCCCTCTCTCACACTCTCCATTGCATAATTGACAACACAACCCTATGCATCTTTATTCTAAAGTAGGCCTCACTTTGTCCAGAGGGATTTACTCCCTAGTGGGTGTTTAGGACAGCAGTTGATTTGTGGTTTTGGGTAAGGAATTAGGTTTCATTTCAGCTCACTGCCGCATCTTGAGACAGGGGAAGGGTGAGTCAGGCACAAAGGGGAAGAGGTATGGAGGTCATGACTAGCAGACTGGAACTTTGAGTGAGAGAAGCTCAGCTCAAAACATCCTCCGTTTTTGTTTTGTTTTTTAAAGATCCTTTTCGCAAAATGACTTTTTGATTTCCCAAACTTCAGAATGTAATAGAGGAAGACAGGGGCACCACATGCTTCCTTGAGTATTTCCAAACATGGAGCCCAGGATGTACATTTTTACAAATCTAAACTGCGGCCACTGTTAGATCCTTGGATCCGGATGTCTGATGGATATATTACAGCATTAGCTACCCATTCAGAACACGCAGCAAGAAAGCAATTGCTGTACCTCTTAAGTAGGAGCAATTGGAGGGCACAAAATTCACACAATTAAGAACAGGCCTTCTGGATGAGATGAAAGGCCATCTGTCCATCATCTTTGTCCTCAATCAAAGGCATGGAGCTGTTTAGATCCCAAGACCACCAGCTCTCCAGCTAAGAGGAGGCCCACTCTGAATGAGACATCTAGGCCAGGGATGGGGAACCTCAGGGCTCGGGGTTGAATGCTGCCTTCTAGGTCTCTCTATCTGGCTTTCCCTCCCCTCAGCCCACCCCCCTCACTGGGCCTACTTCACACCCTGAGGGTTTCTGCCTGGCTGGAATGTGTCCCTGAACTCTGATAAATCCTCTCGCTTGTCAGGGTGGAGGATAGAGATGGGGCATGTAGAATGCCTGTAGAAACTAGTCTAGCCAAATAAAGGTAAGATGTACATGATCTGCTCTGCCAATGTTTGCTTCTGGGATCTCCCACTGATGCTTTGTGCATAAGAGGCTGAGAAGGGTTTCCCACCCCTGATGTAGAATATCTCCCAGCCCTGCACCCTTGGAGCCAACACCTAATCGAGACTCTTAATAAAGGGGATCAACTTCTCTTTCTGAGAGAGATCTTACAAGGCCAACTTTACACCACTGCAGGATAGAACGCACTGAATTGCCACACTTTTCCAGTCCCACTGACACTAACAGGCCACTCCCCACCCCCACCCCCGATATGGGTCCTGGCTTGCCAGTCTTGGAAAACAGAAGGCTGGAGACACAGCGTCTGGAGCAATTCAAAGCCTGGCACAGTGCAGACAATGGCTGCTCTGTTCCCGTGGTAGGAGTTGGAACGTTCCTGAAACAGCAGCAGCATTGATCAGAGCTCTCCCCTTGCCCACAAATAAGGCCCTGCCCCTTTCCTAGGGCAATTGCTGCATGCTTACCCCACTGTCTGTGGGGAGCTGCATGTAGGTGCCACAAAGGAAATTTATGTGATGGGAGACAAGGGGCTCCGGAGCTCCGGGGATGCTCCAACATGGAGGTGATGATATGCAAAAGAAGCAACATCAGTACACAGAGTACTGTTTAACATTGTGCCCATTCAGACGGACAGGTTTTGGCTTAATAAAACAAGGTGTGTTAAGCCAAGAACAGGCATCATGCCTGAGCCCACCAACCCTGCATGAGGACTTCACCTTTTTATCATGCTTTGTTTAAACTGCAGTTTCCTGTTGCATGTGAACAGGGAAACTGTGGTTTAATCGCAACAACTAGGATCATATCCTGTGGCTCAATGTTTAAATCTTAAACAAATCAGGACAGGATAAGTGTAGCCTGTGAACTAAAGGAGGAGGAAGCAGAGAACTCATTCTTGGCTTAATAAATCATGGTTTATTAAGCTGTGATCATTACATCCGAACCAGCCCTCTGCCTAAAGCCAGCCTCACATCTGGCCTGCCAAAGTCTCTCAATGATTTTGCATGCCTCAGACAAAGACAAGCAGAGTTTGGGCAAAGCTAGGGCTATTCAGATCCATCTCGGCTAAGGCCCAATTCCTGACACATTTTTGGCACAGTAAAAGCATTACAAAGTGACTTTCGAAAATCAAGTCACTGTTGTAAAAACTTTGCCCTGGTTTGGTAATGCTAATTTGGCACTACTTTGGGACTCATGCAAATACACTACTGACTACACAAAAGCCAATACAGTCGTACCTTGGTTGTCAAATGCCTTGGAACACGGACATTTTGGCTCCCAAACGCCACAAACCCGGAAGTAAGTGTTCCGGTTTGTGAATGTTTTTTGGAAGCCAAACGTTCGTTTTGGCTGTTGGCATTTTTCCGGGGCCAATCAGCCAATCGGAAGCCGTGCTTTGGTTTGCGAACATTTTAGAAGTCGAATGGACTTCTGGAATGGATTCTGTTGGACAACCCAAGGTACGACTGTAATGATGACTTTAGCTTGTTAAAAAATAGCATCCTGGCCTGTAGCCACAAGGACTTCCAGGGTGCTGCTTATGGTTCACCCTACAATCCTGGACAACCTTATCCCTCAATGTCAACCTGGACACTTCAATCTTGCTATTTCTACCACCTTCTGACCTAAGATGATGGATGCTATAGCTTAAAGATCTCCAAAGCAAAGATTGATGCCAGCAACAAATCCTGTTCAGAAGATCAATTTGCCACCCACTAGGACTAGGTAATAATACAATGAAGTATGGCTTCTTTCATCACCATTACATGAGCAAGGGAGGGCAACTCCATCAAGTCCTGCCCTCAATGCAGATTTTAGCTGCCACTGAGTTCCGATAGCTAAACTTGGCTGAACTCTGTGTTACCTGCTTAGCTGCCAGATTTGATTGGTGGTGGGGAAGGAAAAGAGTTTTTTCCAGAGAGCAGTTGCTCTCTTAGACAGCTAAAATCTACACAAATAGAACTAAATAACTGTGTTATAAGAACAATAACTTTAAGAACTGGTACCCAAGGCCTCCTCCCTCCCCATCCCTTTTTCTTTGTGTGTTTTGCCTTTTAGATTAAAAGTCTGAGGCAAGCAAATGTCTTACCACAGTTTTTTGTAAGCCACTTGGGGAGCCTCTTTGGCTAAAGAGGGGAGCAAAAATGTTCCAAATAAACTAGGACTCTGAAAGGATAAGCATTCATCTTTAGTTACCTTTATCTCTCACTTCCATCAGGCAAGCTAATGCAGACAAAAAGGTCTGAGGAAATACAATTTCCCCAAATCCTGCATTAACTGATGTATGGCGTGAATCTGATTCTCCCATGCCAACCCTCTCTTTTGAACCATTTTTGCTGATGCAATACTCATACCCAGGTGATCCTCTTTGTGTCTCATTTATGGTGATTTCCCCTCCCTCTCTAGTTTTTTATGCTTTTTCTTCTGGAGAGAAGAAGAAAAGGGGGTGGGAGACAGATCAAACAAGGTATTGTGATAGAAAAGTAAACCCTTCCTAGAGAAAAAGATCAAAGTTCTGGAAGCAACACAAATCAAACTTGCATAATACACAGCTGGGAGGTCCTGTCATGCCAATAAAAGCTCTCAGTCCCAACCCACACACCTGCTGCTTACACACACCCCACAATCTCCTAATGCAAAATAAGCACTTCAGCTGGGAACTCAAAGAAAAATTCCACTGAAGTATTTGGCTCTCTGTTTCGACCCAGCGTGAGTACTCCTTGATCTGACTTCATGAAAAGCCAAGAAAAGTTTTCAGGACCAGGGGCTATTGCATTTGGAACTTTGCCAGGCATTTTGTTGTGTGCCCCCAAAATGCAGCAGCCAGCACCAAAATTCTAGCGGTGTATAATGGAGATATAGTTAAGACATCAGCCTACCTAGAGGGGACACTGATTAGGGTTGTGTACACACAGAAGGTAACGTAAAAGTACTGGTAACTCGCAGCTTATGTGCCTTTAGCATGTGTCCATTCAGCTTTACGTGCTTGGCAAAAATAAAACATAGAAAGGGAGAGGGCATCCAGGAAAAAGTACTTTAGCAATCCCACGTGACATTGAACTCAATTTTGGCTTTACACACTATTTCTGGAAGTACGTTGAGAGTGTCCTGTGCTGCATTTTCCCCTCTTCAGCTAGTCTCCATGTGTTTTGGAGGTCATTGTGTACCATGGACAATACAAGCTACCACACTGTCTCTGGAAAAGAACTGTTTGTATACAACAGGGCTAGCCAACATGATGCCATCCAGATGCTTTTAAATTACATCTATCATTACTCCTGGCCATTGGTCATGCTGGCTGGGGCTGATGGAAATTGCAATCCAAAACATTTAAAAGCACTCTGTTGGCTAACCTTGTTGTATACAGGCAGTCATATTCCAGAAACATGGAAATGGTGTGAGAGAGCTGGAATTGGCCATGGTACACAATGACCTGCAAAACCCACAGTTCAAAATGGAAGGGGCCAAGAACAGAAAAGTCAATTAACTAAAAGAAATTGAATTAACTGACGTGGCTTCCAAATGGTTACTATTCTGTGAAAGGGATTCAGGTGCATACCGGAACTTTGGGTTTGTGCCATTAAAGTGGATTAAAAGGCTGCTGTCCCTTGCGGAGCAAATCCACTTTGGAAATTAAAAAAATGGACTTTGTGGTTGGTTGGCAGGAAAATGCACCGAAACGTAAGGGATGAATGAAGCACAGGAAGACATGTAAACAACCCACAAGCAAATCAAGATGAATGTTCCTTGTTGTATAACCGCCCCGTAAAAACAAGGTATGATCTAACCTCCGCATAAGCTTTGTGCAAGCAAATCAGAATGAATGCTCAATAAACAAGTCATCTGGAGGACACCTGAAAAGAAAGCATAACTCAGTGGCTGAGTGCATGCTTTGTAAACAGTAAGTCAATCCATGGCTTCTCCAGATGAAAGGATCTCAGGTACCAAGGCTGGGAAATATTTCACCCTTGGAGAGCCATTGCCAGTCACAGTAGATAGTACTGTACTGGGCTAGATAGAACAGCAGCCCAACTCAGTATCTGGCAAACTTACAGGTTTGTAAACACACCAGGATTTAAGTAAACTCTGGATAAGCAAAGCACTCACAAAACGCAAGGAAACTTATTTCTAAACAACAGCATCTGTACCTTTGCACAGCCCATTTCTGGATCACTCTGTCAGGTTGTCTGCCTTATCAAAATATCAGAGATGACTCACCCTCATCCTTCAGCAGGTTGAAACAAGTCCCGGTTGTTGCATGAACCAGATGTTCTTATCTGAAGGAATGCTTCCTACCACCTTGCACATATAGATCATCCAAGGAGAATCAGTTGTGAATGCCCCCAGCCACCTGAGGTAGCTCTAGCCACCTGCAACATCTAGATCAGTAATGCGGAATTTGTGGCCATCCAAATGTTGCTGGACCACAACTCCTATCATCCCTGACCACTGGCTGTGCTTGCTAGGGCTGCTGAGAACTGTAGTTCAGCAATACCTGGAGGCCAAAAGGTTTCCCACCCCTGATCTAGATCTTCTCTGGTGGTACCCAAGTGTAGAACTCCCTGCCCCAAGAGGTTTATCTGTCATCCTTCTTACTGGTTTTCAGAAAACATGTCAAGACAATACAATTTTCCCTTCAGATAAGCTTGAAGGAATTTTTAATCTAGAGAACTCTTGGGTTCACTTCTTTCTCCACCCTATAATCTTGACTTAATAGTTGCTTTTGTGATTTTATTATTTATGCAGGTTTTCATATTGAATTGCATCGTGTGGCCTTGCCCAGAGAGTACTATTCCAGAGACATTTTAAAAATAAATAAATATTTCACAAACAGCAACATTCACTGTATAGGAAGTGCAGGAGTCCAATGCCCATCAGGGCAGGCAATATGTTAAGGGAAGTAACTCTAGCTAATCCCAGCTTCTCTGGAAACTGTAGGCATACTTACTAACACTGTGTTTATTTTCACTCCCAAACGTGACTGGTAGAGGTTGGAACAATCACAGCGGGTCAAAACAAGCCAGCTTCAAATGTGACAACATGGAAAGCTGTCTTGTGGGCAAAACAGAAGGCAATGCAATCTATGGGTAGACCAGGGGTCAGCAAACATTTTCAGTAGGGGACTGGTCCACTGTCCTTTAGACCTTGTGGGGGGGATGGACTATATTTTTTTTGGGGGGGGGATGAACGAATTCCTATGCCCCACAAATAACCCAGAGATGCATTTTAAATAAAAGCACACATTCTACTCATGTAAAAACACGCTGATTCCCGGACCGTCCGCAGGCCGGATTGAGAAGGTGATTGGGCCGGATGTGGCCTCCGGGCCTTAGTTTGCCTACCAATGGGGTAGACCATCACATGTGAATATGCACGTATGCAGCTCTTCAGTATGATGCATATGCAGTGTACGCATTCTGGGGATAGTTTCACAATGTCTCCTGTATGGAAGCATTTTCTGTGTAAGAGTTTTGTCACTTTTGAAGCATACCCAAGTCTCATTATAGATTATAGCTGGAAGCAAAGTTCTTTTGCATTTCCAAAGGAGTAACTTGCTTGCACCACCATGATGTGTATCAGGGATTTGGGATAACTTCCCTGTAAAAAACAACAGTCTTGCTGCAAAATGGCTTCCCTTCTGGGCCTATTCCCCCTGTTAAGAACAATTTTACAACAAACATACATAGGTATTGTCATAATCAGACAAACACTACCATAACTAAACCCACAACATCATCTTATATAGAAAAATGCACTTGTTAGCACAATATTGTGGTAAATGAGTCAGAGGGCAAGTCTGGTGTCTAGCATCGCAGGCCACTCCCATCTTTACCACAATGCCTTCTGGGGGTTATGTCAGTCAATGGCAAAAGCCACAAACAAACAGATGCAGGGAGTCTCAGTGCTGCAACTGGTAAACCACAAGCATATGATACAACCAAACAGGCAGATGGGCGCACCTTCCCATAGCACAACTTCCTTTGCCGAGGGTGGTGAAGCATGCAAGAACAGTGGAGGCTGAAAGCAGTGGTGGCTAAGTTCCCCTTGTCTCAAATGGCCACGGTATTTACAAGATTTCTCAGAGAACGCTTAGGAAAAGCTCATCAGATTTGGAGCTCTGCTGGACCAGATCAATGGCCTATCAAGTCCAGCATCCTGTTCTTACAGTGGCTGTGCAAATCCTTACGGGAAGCCCATCTGAGCACAACAAAACTCTTCCCCAACTGCGGTTCTGAGTAGTTACTATCAACAGTCTTATTCTCTCTGAACTTGTCTGCTTCTGTTTTAAAGCTATCCATGTTGGCCATCATGACATAAAGAGCCCTTCTTTGACTGGAAGATGCTTTTCCGCTCATGGAAGAGAACCAAGGCATTACATGCAAGTTCTTTCCTAGTCAAGCTCACAATGGTGGCACGTGTGACCTGATGGCACTGGGTGCACCCAGATCATCCTATTGCTCCCTGGGAACTGTAGTTTTGTTGGATGGCAGCTTGCAAAGGCAACTACCCTTCCCAACAAACACACCTGAGAACAAGAAAGGGGGGGGGTTAAGTTGGATGAGGGGCAACCAACCAATGCAAGAAGCCCTCGGTAGGAGTTTCACCAACAGTAAGTAGTTAAAGAACATTGGCGCATGTGCCTTCAAAGCAGCTGACTTTGGGCACCTGGTTTGCTGCACGCTGTTCACACATGCGCAGAATTTCTTCTAACCTTCTGAGCCAGAGAATAACTTTTTTTGCGTGGGGGGCAAGCGAATGACACTATTGGCAATAAATACAGCTGAGCATTACCAGCAGGAAGAATCTGGGAAGAGCACATACTCTGCATACAAAAAGCTCAGGTAGTAAGCGGTGGGGGAAACTGTGTGTGCCCGAAGTGTATAATGCTGCCCGTCAGACAATACCGGATTACACGGATCACAATCTAGCTTCGCACATTCATGTACCAAACCAGGTATAATGACCATCCCTAGCTGGAAGCGTCTTCGTCCCAGGGAAAGGGCGCTCCTAGGAAGGAACCTTCCCCACCCCACCCCCACCCCCGTACCAAGCTCAGTTTCCTGCAGACTCTCCACCGGAGCACCCTTAAAATGAGAGACGGCTCTCCATTATTTCCGCCGCAAGGAGGGTGAGGGGAGAGGGAGAGCCCCCTCTGCTTCCCAGCAGGCCAGCGACCCCCGAGCCAGGCCCGGACCTTGCAGCCGAAAATAAGGGGAGACCCGTCCGTCTCTCCCCCCACCCCCACGCCTAGTTCGGCACCCCCGCGGGAAGCGGGCGGCGTAAGCCCCCTCCCCACCGCGCCCCCCGACGCCTCGAGGCGGGCCGCGTCCCGCGCGCGCGCCCGCTCGCTCACCCACCCAGAAGAGCACATTGGAGGCGAAGAGCAGGTACTTGGTGCAGCAGCTGACCTGGGGACCTTGGAAGTGCTGGGCTTTGCCTGGCATGGCGGGCGCGGGGCCTGGGCGCTGCCCGGCCGGCTCACAGCCCCATGCCGCCCGCCAGCCAGCGGCCCAGCAGCTCCGCCGCCGCCGCCGCCGCTCCGCCCCGTCTAGCCCGCCCCCTAGAGGAAAGGAGAGGCCGCTGCCGCTTGCAGAGCCAGGCTCCGGGAGCGGCGGGTAGGCTGCTGCTTGTGCGCGCGCATGCAGAACTGGCAGACAGAGACAGAAAGAGACAGGCAAGCAGGCAGACAGACACACACACACACCTGACTTGGAGGGAACAGGAACCCAGACTCGCATGACCTGGGGTGTTTTTTTAAAGTAATAAATACTTAACGTAGCGCGGTATAAGTACTCCACACTTTTCACACACATTACCTCAATAACAAGGCTGGCTCTGCCCTTGGGCAGAGAGAGGCGGCGGCCCCTCACGCAAGCTGATTTGGGGTGTCATGGAAGGAAGGGCAGCAAATTATGGGTTATTAAATTTATTGTTGCTGCCCCTCTAGTGCCAGGGAGGAGGGAAAGGCGCTTGTGGGATTTCCCTCCTCAGGTAAAATAACTTGGCTGGCCTTAAATACTATGCGCCATTTACTGTAAAAGGAAGCTCGACACTGCTGCAGCACATGAGGTAAGAATACAGGCTTGCCCACCCCTGGCTTTAAATTAAAGCCTTTAATGTAGCTTTGAATCTACGTGTACGTCAGCTGATTTAGTGTCATCTATATGACATCTATATGACATCTAAGTGGGACACGGGTGGCTTGCCCATTGGAAGGTCGGCGGTTCGAATCCCTGCAACGGGGTGAGCTCCCATTGCTCGGTCCCTGCTCCTGCCAACCTAGCAGTTCGAAAGCACGTCAAGTGCAAGTAGATAAATAGGTACTGCTCCGGCGGGAAGGTAAATGGTTTTCTGTTCACTGCTCTGGCTCGCCATGCTGGCCACATGACCTCGAAAAACTGTCTGTGGACAGGCGCCAGCTCCCTCGGCCTATAGAGCAAGATGAGCGCCGCAACCCCAGAGTCTTCCGCAACTGGACCTAATGGTCAGGGGTACCTTTACCTTTGTATGACATCTTCCTCGTACAAGTGGCATTCTGCTCGCTTGGTTCAGTAAAGTTGTTCTTTCCCCAACCAGAAAATGCAATTATTTTTTTTGAAAAATCCACTATACTATCAACTTCAAATTGGTCCAAACCAAGGTGGCAGGCGCAGCGCAGCACTGTGTTGTCAGTGGTTGGCATGTTCCTTTTCAGCAGCTCCCTTTTCCACATAAGCTATTTCCTTTTTCTTCTTTATTTACTTTCTGGTCACAATTGTGTTATTGAGAACACATGCATTGTCGCATTGGTAAGCCAATTAGCACAAAAAAATGTGTTAAGAATCCTTTGTCTTGGTTCAGTCCACAAGTGACAGCATTGAACAACTTGCTGTATTGCATTTCAGCAGCTTAATGTTTCATTCTCCTTTTGAAGTTTCTTTGCTCCAGGATGGCCACTTTAAGAATCACTTACAGAGAGTGTCCTGGAATGCCGAAATGTTGGTCCACTATTTATTTATTTTTTAAATGTTGCCATTTGTGATGTTAGATTTCTTCCCATCTGTTCTTTTGCACAGAGACGGACCTGCTTGCCCTCTGTAGAATGCAGAAGAACATTGCTGGCAATGGCAATTGTAACTTAAGAACAGGAACAGGTAAATAAACCCCTGATTACATTATTACCTGCTCTAATGGTGTTGCCAGAGTAAACACATGGGGACAGAATTAGCATCTGGGTCTGCTACAAGAGCTGGTCCCTGTGTTCATCTGCCATATGGCCTGTTGTTGCTGGCAAGTAGCTCTCTTAAATCAGGGGACCGGGGTGCCAACTTGAATAAAATATTGTGGTGGCTCAGGTAAGCCCCACCCTGCATAATTGATCACATGATGCAGTGCGCACACACCATTTGAATGTAAATGTCCATCAACTTTGTGGGGGCCTGGTCCCCTCAAATATTTTATTGTGGGGGCTGAAGCCCCCACGGCCCCTAGGACTTGGCTCCTCTGCAGGGGTCTGTATATAAGCAGTGATCAAAATTCCTATTGTTCTCGGTGCATTTTGTGACAGGGAATTTCATTAGCACGAGCAGTTTCTGAGCTCTGGGCACAGTACTGATTTCAGATTAACATTGCAGAATGGAAGGAAATAGGACCCTTTTCTACATCCTCACTTCCAGTACTCTCTTAAGAATAGATGAGACCTTCTTAAGACTACTAGGGGGTGGGCAGGGGAAGGACTAGACCATGTGAAAAATGAACATAATATTTTAGCAACAGTTCATTCATTTTCAGCTTTGTATTCTTGTTATTTAAAAAAGTGTGCCTAGACATCCTGTTGTTGTGCCCATAACCTAGGTTTAAGGTGCCATTTAGCTCCTAGCTTTCATATCTTAGTTTCTAACACTGTGTATAAGCAAGTACAGGCTTCCCACCTCAGGCCTGTGAGAGGAGAGTGTCATTTTCTAGAATGGGCTGCAGATCATCAATTATACATTTGAGTGGTTTCAGCTAAGAACTGTCAGAGATATGAACTGGTGTCCTGGAATTTTCTCTTCTGGGTTTTATATTAAGTTATTCCTATGTCTGCTCTTGTTGTTCTGATTTACCTCTTCATTGGGTGGGGATCATAGTTAGAGGGACACCCGATTTAAAAAATAGAATCTTGTGCATCTGAACAGATACAATTGTATCATAGGCCTCGACTGTATATAGTGGATTTTGCTCTGGGTGAAAGCTGAAAGCATGTAGGTACGTATCATGATCAATATAAGGTGGTGCTTATATGTCCACTAGGAAATTACACTGCAGTGTCCAAAAAGTCAACCTTTTGCATGGACTGATCAAGGCTCAGATTGATGATAAAGTGAAAGCTATTGAAGTTCTGCTGGAATCACTCAGCATTCTCCTGTCTAGATGATAAAATATGTAGTCAATCTTAATAAATGTTAGCTACTTGTTGCATGAAATTCAAACACCTTTAGTCTAGTTAGCACTTCTGTTCCAGTGACAGGATTTTTCAAGCATGCAAAAATGCATAATTTTGTAATGGGGGAGCAGAGGCATAAGCCTTTTCCCTGGGACACACATCCATTGCACATTTACCAATGTGGCCAGACACTATCTGAGATAGTAGTCGTTTTAAGTACTTCTCTGTATCCACATGCTAAGTTAAGTTTATTTTTTATTTACATTTGCTTCTCTTAAAAAAGGACTGGGAGTAGAAGCCCAGCCTCAGAACTTCACAACTGGACTCACCCAGATCCTTCTCTTCTGTCATTGAATAACACCTGGCACTTTGACATGAAACAAAGCTACCTCCATTTATGTTTTAACAGACATTGTTGAACCTTGCATTTAACTCACAACTGAGGCACAGGGTCTGAATGTGTGCGTAGCTGTTTCATTGCCTGCAGTGTTAAAGATGTGCTGACTTAAAAAAAAAAAATACTAGGGAACAGAATCTCCAAGACCAGGCTCTGTCATAAACACAAAGTGTTCTGGTATGGAGGCTGCCACCATTTGCACTCACACATTCTCCTATGGCAAATTGCAAGGCTGCTTGAGAAGCTCAAGGCCTCCGGTTCAGAAGCGCCTCATTTAGGGTTTTTGTCTTGGCCTTCAAAACCAACCCCCTCCTGTTTAGTGATTCCCTTGGTTTTGATTTTCTTCTTTTGGTTAGTTATTTGAAGAACTCTCTGTGCTCTTTCTGCAGCTGTCCTTAAAGAGCATACAGTCATATTACAATGTCCTGTTTCAAAATCCAGCAAGTTACACCCCTGTCTTTGAACAAGGAGAGGGGTCAGCAGAAAAAGGATAAGATGCAAATACTGTATACAGACCCAGTTCCCTAGCTGAAGCTAAAAACCAGGGGCTGCTATTCTTTCTGTTTTGAGCACTCCCTTTTGCATGTTTGTCATCTAACAGCTCTGGCCAGCTTCTTCCTCCTTAACTGAAAGGGTTTTTATTTTGTTACTTTATTACCACCAATTTGGTCTTCCAAATTCTACTTAGCTTGCCTGTTGGCAGATTTCTATTTGATTAGCCTAAGTGTTCAGGCTCTATTATGCTGTTGCTTTGCTGCCTAAAGAATGTGACACTAACTGTATCATTTCATCCCTTATTACATAATCTTCTTATTGGATAAATTCTCTCACAACACTAAATATAAGTGTGCTCTGTTTTCAGAAACACAGCACAGCTTTTATTTTTCTCTCTCTTTGTGTGTGTTAGCACAAATCCTGTGTACCATGTTTTGCCCGCCACAATGTGCAAATCCTATCACACTTACCTGAAAGAGTAAGACCCATTGAACCAAATGGGGCTCATTTCTGAGTTGACATGCAGGAATCCATTGTTAGTTGAATCAAATTCCGTCTCCTTTTGCTGCTTCTATAATTAACTGTGACAAAGCACAATCTCCTTTTGAATCTAGAAATTGTATCCATGTCATGACCTGAATTGACATTTAAGCCTGCTGGTAACTGAAGTTGCCCATAATACATGCTTTTGCTGCCTCTCCCAATTTCTTTATGTACTGTGCTAACATTCAGTTGTCAACCTTAGCCTGGGCCAACTTAGAGAAGCATTAGTTGATTGGTTGTGTGGGTTTTACTCAATTAAATTTGTGCATAAGCAAAGCCATAATTTTGAAGCAAAAAACATGATTTGTTTGTAGATGCATCTTATAGACATTCCTTTTTATGAGGAAGAATGCACCTGGAGCCATCGCTGAACCTTTTAAGCAAGTTCTTGTTTTTTTTTATGGGTTGGATTCAGGCTTAGTCATTCTCTGAGTAAACCCACTGAAGTCAACAGGACACAAATAATTACCAACTCAACTTCCATTGGTTTCAATAGATCCGCTCAAAGCATGTCTGCCTAGATCCAACCCAATAAATCCAACAAACTCCTGCTGCCTATGGATCATGGGTGGTGGTGGTTTTTTAATTGATCATTTGTACAGAATTTGGATGGCCAACCATTAAGGCAAAAGCAGACTGCACTCACGTAAAGTATATTTTAAAACTTGCTATGATGCCTATTGAGCAATAATAGGTTTGTAACATACAGAGTGGTCCTCTATGCACTGACTGCAAATAAGAATAAGAATAAGGAAAAGGAGTTAGATAAAGGTTGGTGGGACAGTGACCCATTCACCCAAATGCACCAGCCTCCACTGTCCTTACTCACATACCTCTACATTCAGAGGATTAACAAAGGCTGCCTCTGCAGAAGATAAAGCTGCTCTTGCATTGACACATTGCTCAGTAACAACACCCAACAAGGGGCCTCCTATATCACAGTTACCCAGTGCCCCTCATCAAACACACAAAGGCATCATCGTTTTGTTGAAGTACTTGGGCTCTTGGTATTTTCACTGAAGAGAACCATCCAGAGCTAGTTGTTATGACCAGACATCCTGCTGCTCACTTTGTCAGTTGCCATGAATGGGATAGAGCTGTGGTAGCCGCAGCTCTGAGTTGCAAGAGCAAGCCTGATATCATCTCTTATTACAGAGGCTAATCCCAGGAAGCAACCTCATTGACTTTCAAGTCAGCTCTGCTACCTCCTTAAGAGTCATACAAGCTGCTTCAGAACAGGAAGCAGGCCCTGCAATCCTTTTAATTCAGCAGCTCCTGCTTGCAGCAGAGGCCAGCCCATTAGCACCAGGCTGCAGGGAGGTCTAAAGGACTGGTGGCTGAAGTCTGGCAGCAGCAGATTAGACTCCATCAAGATCAGTGGTGGTTGTTGCCCATTGGGTCAGGAGGGGAAAGGCTTAGCAGGTGGAACCAGAGTCAATGACAGACAGTCAGCTAATTTTGCCCCCATCTCCTTCCTGCTGAGTTTAATAAAGGACAGCACTGAGTCTAAGGAGGAAGAATTGGCATGCACTGCTACCCCCTAGACTGGTTTGTAAGGGAGCAGGCAGGGAAGTGACTCGCTAAGGGCAGACTGAGGCTGGAGGGGCAGGGCTGCATCTGCCTTAACAGACCAGCCTCTACTGCAGACCCTGGGCATAGCGAGGGGGCAGAGGGGCAGTAAAACAATAGAAATCCTTAACTGACCAAACACGTCGGTCCTGCCCCCCCAACAAAAATCCTGGCTATGCCCATGCTGTGGACTATACCCACCTAAAAACTACCACAATACAAGTATTTATACTAGAACTGACTCTAAGTCTTCCTGCATTTAGCAAATGCATAGTTGCTCATATGAAATAACTGAGCTTGGGTAGGCCACTCTTTCTACGTTTCTCCTTATGGGGGCAGCAGATGTCAGCCTTCCTTCCATCAAAACCAGGGTGATCCAAGCAATCCATTTGTTTTATTCAGAAACCTGAAAGGCTAGGAAGGCTCCAATTACTGGGGGTGGGGGGGAGAGAATTCGTGATTGGTATTTTTTGGCTCTAAAAATCTTCAGGTTTTCAGACATGCCTCTATCACAGTGTCAAAAAAGATCCCAACCCTGTGTCAGGGGTGCACGTAAGAACAGCAGACTTGTGTGCAAATGGCAAACTTAGTAACGAAGTTCAGTTCCAGGCAAATCCTCTCAGCGCAGAGGAAGGGAAACAAAACTTAGAAGATGGATGTTGACTCTCAAGAGTGGGTGGTTTCCTCCAAAGTTCCAACTCAGGACCAAAAGAATACAAGCTGTTTAACCTCAATTCTTTAATAATGTTGAAAGCCAGCAAAAGCCATGGGAGTATTATGCCATGCTATACTCATCCATCCTGCTTCCCCAGAGATCCTGCCAACTTCAAGGGTCTATCGTAATGGCTTCACACCACAAACTTGTTCTTCATGAGGGAGCCACTCTTGGTGGCAGTGTCGGCATGAGCCTGATAACCAATCACCACTTTGGAAGACAGGCCCAGGCGTTCCTTGTAAACACGCCTGAAAGAGAAAAAAATTATAATTAAGTTGTACTCAAGACAGCTGGCTATCTTAGCTCACCTCTCTTCTGTAGTGTGTATGCACATATCATCCATTTCCACCAAAGAGTCCTTTCCCTAGGCTGCTATAGACACCTACAAACTCCTTGCATTGTATAGCTGGCATTCCTCATGCATAAAGGCTTCAAACTCTTCAAACACACACACACACACACACACACACACACGCACCTTAGTAATCCTGTTGGTGTTTAATTATACAAACACGCTCTGCCTTACATAAGGTGGTTGGCATTAGCCCTCCTGTGTGTTGCTCAGCATTTCACACACACATCTCAACAAAGGGAACTGTCTGTCAGCTACCCGATATGTGTTACGCCATCCCGGTTCTCTGCCTCCTGGGTCCAGATTGCGATCTTGTCCCCCTTAGCACGGATGTTGATGACGGCCCCACAGACATCTTCGCTGTAGTCATCAAACATCTCTCCAATCAGGCACAGCAGCTACACAGAAGAGGAAAACCCATGAAGCGAACAGGGAACCAGATGCAAGCTACTGCTTGATGTACCATGGTTAAATACAGTGGGGAATATTTCTTGCCTCATAAGGGTCTTTAAGCTGTTTTCCTGCCCAAAGAAAAGAGCTTCACTATTCGGGAAAGATCAGAATAGCTGGCTCAGCTCAGAAATCCAGCAGGCATCAGAGGGATTGGGGATGAGTGTGTGTGTGTGTAGATAGGAAAGTCCATCTGAGCAGATAAATGCCATGCATCCTTTCCTCTTCCCCTTCATCTCATGCCGCCATGTGGTGCAAGTTGCCTGAACACAGTAAGCCAGCCTCACCAACCTGACATTCTCCATATGCTTTGGACCACCAGTGTTCAAAACTCCCATTGTTCTAGGCGCATTTTGCGACAGGGAATTTCATTAGCGTGAGCAGTTTCTGAGCTCTGGCCATAGTACTGTGCCTAAGATTTCAGATTAAAACTGAAGAATGGAAGAAAAGGAAGACCTTTTTCTGCCTCCCCACTTCCAGCTACTCTCTGCAGACTGGAGAAGAGACCATCTTAAGAATATTAGAGGGGTGGGCAGGGGAAGGGATAGACCATGTGAAAAATGACATAATATTTTAGCTGCAGTTCATTCATTTTCAGCTTTGTATTCTTATTAAACAAAAAACTTGCCTAGATATTCAGCTGTTGCACCCATAAACTAGGTTTAAGGTGCCATTTAGCTCCCAGATTTCATATCTCAGTTTCCAACACTGCTACCAATCCCATCAGCCCCAGCCAGCAGAACAGGTGATGGGAGTTGGTAGTCCAAAACACCTGGAGAGCAGCAGGCGGGCAAAGACCTTGGCTGAGAAGGGGAACTAACAAAGGAGAGTCATTTTGAGGAGCAGCTTCCACCTGCCCAAGAGAGAATGGGAAGTGCTGTATGCCCAGCACTGGCGGAGGAAGAGGAGTGTGGGGGGAGTGCACCACCCCCAGCAGCATGATCCCCAGGGTGCCCACAGGCGGCGTGCCCTGCTCCCAGAACGTGCACCACGCCCCTGCAGGTGGCACACCACACCCCCAGGACAAGCGCCAGCCCCGCTCCCGCCTGCTCTCCGCCTCCGATGCTGGAGAATGAAGCTCTGCCACTGATGCGCAGCCCAGAAACATGGCCAGAAAGCAGGGCAAATGCCACATTTCATAAAGGAGAAGCACCCACACAGCGTTCTGCCTACTTACAGTCTCCAGCCAGAAACGGTCAAGCTCTGCATGCCGCTGCTGCTTGGACAATGTGATAAGCCAACGCCCACCACGCTTATTCCTGTTATCTTCCCACATCGGTTCAATGCCATCCTGGAGGAAATGCAGGATCTCAGTATATACAGCTCTTACACACACACACACCCCCACACACACCCCTACATGAAGTTGCAAGGCTTTCTTAGTCCACCACAATGCACTTAGATCCACAGCAAGCCATGTGTAGCCCTATGGTGTGTGGGAAATCCCATACAACAAGAGACCCCAAGACTACCACTTGAGAGCCTGTTTTGCCTCCCTATAGGAGGCACGCAGCGTTAACAGACCAGGAACAGACCAGGAATAACCAGCAGGACTTACCTTGAAAAGGGAATAGTCGCAGCCTGATGTCAACTTGCTGGCCAGTTGGATGTTGCTATACAGCCTGCAGTCTCAAGGAGAGAAGACAGATATGTCAGGAGAACAGAATGGGTGGACTTGTGTAAGGAACCTACGGCTCCTGATGTTGATGCAAGGTATCTTGTGTGAATAGTCCCAAAACAGGTGGCCCACCCTGGAAACTGCCTTGAGAGAAGTTTCCACTAAATCCAGGCAAATACCACAGGAAACTATGGTTCATTCGGAGCTCCCTGTAGCACACATCTCAACCACTTTTAACTTTCAAGTGCTGCTTAGGACTTGTTTAGCCTGCAGATACAAGTACATGGTTTTCAAAAGTGAATGGACTGGAGAGCCCAGCTCCCATCATCCCTGACCATGCCAGCTGGGTCTGATGCGAGTGAGGAGTCCAGCAACATCCAGAGGGCCACCATATTCCCCACTGTTGGTTCAATCCCACAATGGCCTTCCTTCTGGCAAGGCTGTTCCAGTGACTCTAGCTGTCAGAGGAAGGACTGGAATGCACTCACGCCCAGAAGTCTTCCACGGTGTCAAATTTGGTGATAAGCCGCAAGTTATCCTGCCAGGTCTTACTCTTGTCATTTTTGAAGAACCAAAGGGCCCACCTACGGAGATGAATGGAAGGCAAAATTAAGCCACTAGCTATGAACATCAACACTCCCCTCCGCGAGGCTCTATGTACACACAAAACACCCAGCACATCTTGCCACATGTGTGAATGTTGCCTGTTTGGACTGGAAGGTGCTGTGTCACACTCTTCTCATTTCACATTTGATTAGACTCACTGTAATAAGGCAACCCTAAGGTGGGATGTGGGTTGTGCTGATAAACAATGTGGTTTTGTAAACCACTCTGTTTTGTTTTGTTTTTTGTATGAACAGCAGTATATAAATATTTGTATAAATTAGTAAAACAAATATTTTCTTGAACTTCTCCAGAGACACAGATGCATGTTCTCTCTCCTTCTCCCAGTGAAGGAGCGAGGGAATATAAAATAGGAGTGGTTTCAAGAGATGAATGGTAGGAAATTCAGGACAGAAGAATGGAATAACTTCTTTACACAATACATAGGATTTGCTGCCATAAGAGGTGATGGCTACCAACTTGGACAGCTTTAAAAGGGGATTAGGCAGATCCATGGACGATGAGGTGATTGATGGTGACTACTCATGATGGCTACGCATTACCTCCAGTATCAGAAGCAGTATGTGCCCCCTGAAAAGCATCTGCTAGGCAACAACAGGAGGAGGATGCTGTTGCCTCCATGCTCAACTTATGGGCTTCTCTATAAGCATCTTAGTTAACTAGTGTGGGAAACAAGATTCTGAGCTAGACGGGCCTTTCATCTGATCCAGGAGGACTCTTTAAGCGCATTCCCCACTCCTCCCACCTTTGAAAAGGAGGAAGCAAGAACAGGGTGAAAGTAAATGATTTTTCATGTTTAACAGTGATTTATGGAAGCACACAGTAGCATCGGAAGTGTTCCTTGAAACCAAAAATAGCAAGGATTTCTTGGCAATGAGTATCTGCTGTATCATAGCACAGCTCCCTTGGCCACATTTGGATGCACCTTGCCAGGATCTTTTTGGTTAGCAGCCATCAACAAGCAGGGGGAAAGTGAGCATTAACATTATTGCACTGGAGGGGAGATCCAGGCACACTGGGAGATCCAGGCATTTTGGCGTTCTGCTAGCATCATGCCTCTGATTACCAATTGCTGGGAATCGCAGGTAGGTCGAGAGCTGTGGTGCCCGTGCCCAGCTTGCAAGCTTCCTACAGGCATCTGGTTGACCACCGTAAGAGCAAGATGCTGGACCAGATGAGCCATTGGCCCGATGTTCTTACCTGTTCTGCAGGGGGTGCTTGCTGAAGCATTCCACAGCCCCCTCTTCTCTCTTGGCCTTGCACATCCACTGCTCCTCCTGAGGACTTGCCTGACGTTTGGATAAGTGGACAATTCATTACAACAGGCACTACAAGCTCCTTGTATACATTCATCCCCAGGCATGGGGTGCCCTGTACAGGCTACAACTGGATGGACAAACAGCAAAGCCAGATAAGTTGGGGGAGCTATGTGTTTTGTTTGAGCTCTTGATCTCTCTCAGGACAGCAATAAAATATGGGAAATTATTATTATTTTTTATCTGAAACACACTGCTATAGATGAAATTCATGTTACATATATTGTCTGTGTTTTGCCAAGAATTCAGAAAGTGAGTGTGTTCTTACACAGCTTTCAGGAAAAAAATGCTTCACAGGAGAAAGAGGAGCTGCTCCCAGCTTTATTCTGGCTTCAAGGAGGAACATAGCCAGCTTCCCTAGGGCCCAGTAAATAGCTGACAGTACCTGGGGCAAAGGGATCAAAACCCTACACACAAAAGGACAGGCCACCAGCTGCCTCCTCCTCCTCCTCCTTCAGTTTGCTCTAGGGTACAGGACAGAGCATTCAAAAGGGCACTTGTTTGCTGCCTGATAAACGGGATCAGAGAGATCAAGTGCTGCTGATGTTATTTTCTGCCCTTTACCGCACTCTAGATGGCAGTGATGGTGAAATGGGCACCCCTGCCAGCTCCAAAGCTTCCCGTCCACATTGGTTTCGCACAGCCCTCTCTCAGGGCAAACAAAGAATGCTATACAGCATTACATTTAGAAGAAGAACTTGAAGGAGGAAGACCTTGCCAAGCCAAGTAGAGCAACCAAAAAAAAGCTTTTGGGTCCTTAAGAGAACTAGGCAAATTATTGCCTAGCTTTTTCACAGCCAAGTGCATTAAAGCCAGGCCAGTCTTGGCCATACTTGCAGTGCCCTCGAGCAACCGTGTGAAAATTGCATACATAAGCAGACACATTTAGGCTCTCCAGGGACTAGAGTCACCAAGATCAATACATGGCAGACCAAGGATTGACAACTCCCCACCTTTTTTTCTGGCAGGGACTGTGTTCCTTTAATAGCTGCATGACAAGCAGAAATTCTGTAGGAGACACTCCCTTTCCACCCAACATGCAATGCATTATGGGAAGAGCATCTCAGACTACTGTTAAAGATACAGGAGCCCTGGAAGAAGCAGCCCTGCAAGCCATGGCTGGGCCTCCTACAAGTTTTATAGCAGGGACTCACCACAATACCAAAGTAAAGTGGTCACTCTACTGGGAATAGGCACTCTGGAACACATCCCAGCATAAAGCTCAGTACTGTGCACACTTGCTCAGAGAAGTCAGGCTCATTGAATTCAATATAACTTGCTGACATAAGCATGCACAGAACAGCAGAATTTGCATCAGACAAGATGGTCAACATACAGAACAAACACTTGGCTACATCCAGCCTAGCTTTTCCTACCCTTCAAGACCAATAAGGTCCCTGAAAACTAAACAAGGAGCTTTGGAGGTAGAACTATATTTCAGAAACACAACAGCCTCACAATTGCAGGGTTATACCCTAGGGAGAAAGAAGAAAAAGACCTCAGCAGAAAAAAAAACTACTACTTACCATCATTAGTGCTACTGCCACCACCTTCCAAGAAAATAACTGAGCCTACCTCTCCAGGCTTCCTTTTTATATAGAAAGCACCTTTGAGCACCGCCTTTAACCTAGAAAATGGTTTTGTTAAAGAGCCAGGCCTTTCTTTTGTCATTCCTTCAAATGCTGCCATTGTAGAAACTGTAACCCCTGTCCCTCTTTTTCAGCTGGAACACAACAGGGACCCATGGTCCTCTAGATGTTGCTGGAGGCCAGTTCCCATCGCCTCATGATATTCTTGTAAAGAAGCTGGTAAAATGTGGTCTTGACTATGCTACCACTCAGTGGATTTGTAACTGGCTGACTGACCGAACCCAAAGGGTGCTCATCAATGGTTCCTCTTCATCCTGGAGAAGAGTGACTAGTGGGGTGCCACAGGGTTCTGTCTTGGGCCCGGTCTTATTCAACATCTTTATCAACGACTTGGGTGATGGACTCAAGGGCATCCTGATCAAATTTGCAGATGACACCAAATTGGGAGGGGTGGCTAACACCCCAGAGGACAGGATCACACTTCAAAACGACCTTGACAGATTAGAGAACTGGGCCAAAACAAACAAGATGAATTTTAACAGGGACAAATGTAAAGTATTGCACTTGGGCAAAAAAAATGAGAGGCACAAATACAAGTTGGGTGACACCTGGCTTGAGAGCTGTACTTGTGAAATGGATCTAGTAGTCTTGGTTGACCACAAACTTCACATGCGCCAACCGTGTGACGCGGCAGCTAAAAAGCCAATGCAATTCTGGGCTGCATCAATAGGAGTATAGCATCTAGATCAAGGGAAGTAATAGTGCCACTGTATTCTGCTCTGGTCAGACCTCACCTGGAGTACTGTGTCCAGTTCTGGGCACCACACTTCAAGAAGGACATTGACAAACTGGAACGTGTCCAGAGGAGGGCAACCAAAATGGTCAAAGGCCTGGAAACGATGCCTTATGAGGAACGGCTAAGAGAGCTGGGCATGTTTAGCCTGGAGAAGAGGAGGTTAAGGGGTGATATGATAGCCATGTTCAAATATATAAAAGGATGTCACATAGAGGAGGGAGAAAGGTTGTTTTCTGCTGCTCCAGAGAAGCGGACACGGAGCAATGGATCCAAACTACAAGAAAGAAGATTCCACCTAAACATTAGGAAGAACTTCCTGACAGTAAGAGCTGTTCGACAGTGGAATTTGCTGCCAAGGAGTGTGGTGGAGTCTCCTTCTTTGGAGGTCTTTAAGCAGAGGCTGACTGTCATCCCCAGTCAGCATGACCAAAGGTTGGGGATAGTGGGAGTTTTAGTCCAGCAACAACTGGAGAACCACAACTTCCCCATCCTTGATTTAGGCCAATGGGGTCACTTAAAAGTCACTGCGTTCAAGACACTAGATCAGAGGAGGGGAGCCTTTTGTTCTCCAGATGTAGCTGGACTATAGCTTCATCATCCTTGTTCATTGGCCATGTTGGACAGGAGGTAGAGCACCACAACTGCTGGCCACAGGTTTCCCATCCCTGTACAAGATCACTGTGTTCATGTCAAAATTAAAAGGCAAACAATATAGGGCCATCAGAGAGATTGTATCCATGGAACTAAGGTATCATGAAAAGCTCAGCCTCCAATAGGTAACCAAGGTTGCTTTGAAACAGGTGGTTCCAAAGCCTGTGTAATGTAAGGGACAACTGTTGCTGAAGATTGCAACCAGGTGCGCTTGGCTTGGCTCTACCTTACTAATCAGGCCTTTAAAATCTTAGCTTGTAAGAGGAGATAATTTTCCAAGTGTGCCATTCTAGGTTACATTAGTGTTGTCCTCAGGGTTTTTTGGTGTGTGGGTGGAGGGCGGGGGAGAGGTCTTTAACAAATCTATAGTACAACTTAGATCTGTGCAGTAACCTTGGAATTCTGTCTATAGCTCTGATACAACCACACCACAAAAAGGGTACTGTAGAGATGGGAAAGTTGCAGAAAAGGACAACCAAAATAATCAAAGGGTTGGAGCAACTTCCCTATGATGAAGGGTTGCAATGTTTGGGGCTTTTTTAGCTTAGCAGAAAAACAAGTGAGCAGGATATAAGCAATAATGCCTTAGAGAAATTAAATGCATATATATACATTATATAGAGTAGCATCACAGAGTGGGAAGGGAGCCTACACACACACACACACACACACACACATACACATAACGATAAGCATGTTAAAGCTTACATGCACCTAAAATTATTTACAATGACCGTTCATAAATCAGTCTTGGTGGTAACACAAAGATCCTGGCACTGGTAAACTAATGAACACTTGTAGTGGGATTAAAACACCTGTAGTGGGATTATAGTTCAATTCAGGCTAGAGGGGATAGAATTTAACTTCTTGGTAAACTGTTATTCAGTGACCTCCCTTTGAAGTTTTTTTATTCAAGGATGACTACTTAGGTTAGTACCAAGTTTCTAAAGAGACTGAAATCAGGGTAGTGTCCTTCCTGATGTCAGATTTGTGCCCCTTTAATCATTTGCATAGACCTGTTTGTCCTAGGTAGAGTTATTGGCAGGTGATGGCATAAGTCACATTAGATGAGCAGGTGAATGAACCCCTGATGTTGTCATCTGAGAGAAGAAAGTGTCCTTATCCAGGATGGGCTGTAATTCATTGATGATAACTTGCAGCGGCTTTAGCTGGGAATTACAGGTGGTAACAGGTAGTGCCTTATCACTTTCTCTTCTCAGTCTGTCCTATGTACTACATTGTTCCTGAGTCCTCAATCTTGCTTTGTTCTTTTGGTCTTTCACTTGATTGGGCGAGTATTTTAGTCTTTAAGGAATAAATAGATACATAACTAATATGTTTTGTCCAAACACTGCGGGGGGGGGGGGCAACAGCCCTCCCACTACCGTTTTCCCCATCACGCTCCCTGTGAACTAGTGTCTACTGCTGCCCTTCCTCCATGTATCAAATCCCTTCCAAAAGCCACGATCTAAGCAAGGGCACATCGCATCTTGTGTGGCAACCCAGAAAAGTGGCATCATCCGTGGTCTGCGATTCTGCATCCTTCCGCCTTCTTAGCTGTGAGCCACTGACTACGTGCCTCTCTCTCGCTCTCTCTCTGTACGTGCCAGCCCTCGACTCCTCTCTGCTCCCCACCTCCCCAAATCACCGCCGCCATCAGCCACGCGGCAGGCTCCACAGCTCCTCCTATGCGTCGGGGCAGGAAGGCTCCTTTGGCGCCTTCTTATCGGATGCCCCGCCCCAGGTCAGCGGGCCGGCGGCCTCTTCGCGCCAAGGCTCCCGCCGCTGCATCCGGGCAGGGCCGAGGGGCGGGGAGCGCGAGTTGCGCGCTATGATGAAATCCCCTCGCCGAGCGGGTATAGGGCGCGCGGCGGCTCATTGCAATATTCAGCGGCGGCGGCGGCAGCAGCAGCAGCAGCAGCAGCAGGGCGAAGGCGCCGGCGTCTCCTCGGCTCTCCTCTTCTCCACCTCCTCCTCCTTCTCCTCCTCTTCCTCCCCGCCGAGCTACTCCATGGCAGAGCTGCCCTGACTGCCCCGCTGCACCTCGCCGCCTGCTCCACTGACCCTGCCCAGCCGGCTCGCTCGCTCTGGCCCGGAATGATCTGAACCCCCTTCAGCGGAGACGCACCCGAGTCCAGCGCTATCGCCGATCGCAGGTGAGCAGCGCCTGGGCGCGCTCCTCTCCCTCGACTCGCTCGCCCCTTTGGAGAGCGCGGGATCGGAGGCATCCTCTGGAGATCGGATTGGAGGAGGCGGGCGGTGGCATAAGGTTTGGCCTGGAGGTGAATTCCCCTCTCCATCAGTGCGCAGGGCGACGGTGCCGTTATCTCTCTTTTCGGGAGGGGGGTGGGATATCTACCCACACACCATCTCCGCAAGCGTAGTCCCCCCCCCCCCCGGGAATTGGAATACTGATGGAGAATGAGATGGCTTATATTCCTGGATAGGAACACCACACCCCAGAAAATCCCCACCCCAAATAATTGGCAGAAAAGGAGAGCGCAGCAGCGTCTCCTGTCCTCACCCTTCCCTTCCCCTCCCCGGTTTCAAGGACACGGAGTCATCCCTGTTTTGACGGCTTTAATCCTGGCTAAATCCCAGCCTCTCTTCCCTCTTCCTGTCTCTCGGGGGATGCGGGAGCGGATGCTTTTGAGGAACGGGGCTGAAGAGGAGCGGCGCTTTCCACCCCCGCGTTAAAATGCCCAGGAAGGGAGCAGCTGCAGCCATTAGAGCAGGCGAGGTAGGCCGGGAGGATGGGGATGGTCATGGCAGCAGCCGAGGAGGAGGATGGAGGGTGACGGCGGCCTTTGCAGCACTAACAGCTGTCAGCAGACTTGTTGAATCTGGGGCAGAAGGTTGCTTTTGCCATGGCACCGAGCTGGGCTCTGCACCTGCTCCCCCAGCCTTCCACCTTGGGAGAGCCCGCTGGGCAGTGGAAATCTCCTGCCTGTTTCAACAGCGAGCTGAGATGTTGTGGCTGCAGTAAGATACAGCCTGAGGCTGTTGAGTTAGGGGGCAGCCCTCATGCTTTGCTGTTGGGAACGCTGTGGCTCCAGCCTAGGGAAGCCCCTCCACGGAGCCATACCCGATTTCCTCCATCTCTCTCCAAAGCCCATATCCCTCCAGCTCCTTCTCCCCAGCAGTCTATTTAACCATTCCCCTTCCTTGGGAGCAGCAGAGCCCTGTGCTGAAGCCATCTTGCCTGGTCTCTTGTCTCCTCCACACAGAGCTCAGTGCCGGGATGGATGCGTTTATGAAGGGCTTGTCCAAGGCAAAGGAAGGGGTCGTTGCTGCAGCGGAGAAGACTAAGGAAGGGGTAGCGGTGGCAGCGGAGAAGACCAAGGAAGGCGTGCTCTATGTCGGTAAGGCTGCTGCAGGCACAGCTGCAGAACTGCCCTGCTAGCTGTGCCCGCCTTTCGCAGGAGGAAACAAATCTGCTAGAGGGAGGGAGGGAAGGAGGAGAGATGGTTCCCATTGCTTGGGTTTTTGTATCATTCTGGCCAGGCCTTCAAAGCTGGCAAATTGGCATCCCTTCCCCAGTTTGATTCCTTCCTCTTCCCCTCAGTGGTGAAGGACCACCATTTACAGGGTGACAGCGACCTAGAAAACTAGAGTCTGATCCTGTGGGGCAGTATCTGCAAAGCAATGCTCTGCATCCTCCTTCCTGAGCACCACCATCCCCTGGGGTTCTGATGTCATAAGTCCCTCAACGTTCAAAAAGTATTACCATCTTAGGCATACCTGTGGGGTTCTGTTTGTTTTTCAGATATGTGAACAGTCCTTGGGTGATCCAAGAATCTCACGTTTACTGTATTTAAAGCACTGCTATCAGGTAGATCTGAACCATAATCCTCTTCTAACCAAGGCATACAGAATGAATGGCATGCCCATAGTGGCATATGGGGTCTATGACACAACTAGGAATACCCATAGGATGATGATGATAATAATTAGTTTTATCCAGCTTTTCAGCCAAAAAGCGTCCCGGAGTGGTTTATAAATAGTGACAAAACAGTACCTGCCTGCAAGCTCACAATTTTAGAAGACATGACACAAAAGGAAAAGGAATGCGTAGGGAGAAGGAGGGAAAACCATCTCAGGTACTAGATCTAAGTTTCAGAGTTTTTGTAGTGACTGGCTGGGATGGAAATATTTGGAGAAGAGAAGCCAATGGAGGAAACATTGCTTTCTCTCTTATAGCCTGATGGAACAGCTGCTGATAAGATGACAGTTAAGGGAGTGACCTGTTGAAGCTGGTCTCTTAGAGCCAATGCAGAAGCCCGGCAGTCCCACCTCTCCCTCTCCTGTAGCCTGATGGACTGGCTGCTGATTGGAACTCTACGAGACCCAACACTGCGTGGTTATTCCTTAATTCTGTTACTTCTCAAGTTCCTGGCCTTCTTGGTCTCATGCGAAAAAGCAGGCACAAGGCACAAGCTGGATGTAAAATAAATGAAATAGTAGTTTTAAATGGGCGTGCAAGCTTTCTAGTTTCCCAGAATGCAAAACAAATGTACCTTAGATGAACATTATGATGTAGCATGGCCTAATGAAGATTGTGAGCTAGGAAGTCTTCCTTATCTTTTTTAACAGGTTGGTCCAATAAAATAAATAAATGTTAATTTATTTCTGCCTGCTCCTGCATGTAGAACGATGAGGCCCAAGCCTTTGGCTCAGTGTTGCCCTAGGCAATTTCTTTTAACACGAAAGCTGCTGCCCATAGATATAGACACCCCAATGCAGCGATCTGTATTTCAGGGAACAGAGGAGGACAATCTTCTTAGCTTTCCTCCTTCGGATGTAATAGAGGGACAATAATGTGGCTAAAGCAGAAGGACCTCAGAATAGTGAAATGCATTTATGGTCCTCCTTTCCTCTCCCTGCCCCCAATAATTTAAGGCTTGCTTAGGTTCTGGATGAGATGTGTGCAGATGCCAGCCCAACCTTGAGGCTGGTGTTTCCGGGGAACCTTCTGCCAGGGCACAAGCGGGGTGTACCACTGCAGTTTATTGGGCAACATGGTAGGGAAAAGGCATGGGGATGGCTCTCTGTCTGCTGCTTTTGTGTCTGGCTCTGCATGAGAGGCAGATGGATGAATATTCATAAATGCCTGCTCAGCATTCAGGACCTACCTTGCCTCTTACAGATTCATCAGCAAAACGGCCCCAATCAGCATGGGCAAGTCAGATCTTCTTCTGTCATACCACTCCCTCTAGCCAGGACAATGAGATGCATATCCAGAGTGCTTCTCCTTCCAGGACTTCATCTACCATCTTCTCACTGACACTTTTGTCAGCTGTCACTTTTATTTCGCTTTGTCCCTCACTGTGCTGGTCTTCATTGTTGGCGGTCCTCTTGCACATATGACTTTCTTCCTCCTAGAATTGTAGGTTCAGTTAAAATAAAATGTGAATGTGAATGTGTACAATTGCAGGCATCCACTGTAATTCATTTGATGCATTCCACCTCCCACCCCCCCAAAAAAATACAAGGTAGCAACAGAAATCCTGGGTGAGATCAGGAAGAGTAGATCAGGAAGGGTAGTCGAAAGAGAGGAAATGGGAAGAAGGAAATATTCAGTCATTGCTGAAATATAGGCAAGAGATTTAAGTGCACAGGTGCAATGGCACAAATTTGCTCTTGGGAGAAAAAGGGAGAGATTCTGATAAGGGACAGAGCAAGAGTGAGAAAGTGAGGTGAGGGTAAGACTTCTGTCCACTAGTGAGGTCCAAACTTTTATGGGGGAAATTATATACATTGTGATGGCATTGTCCACATCACATCATGTTATTTATATGTCAGTCTGGACAGGCGCTTCACAGCAGAAAACTTAGGAACCCACCCTTCCTTGAATATTGTTGTGGGCAGATATTACAGTACAGTGGTACCTCGGGTTAAGTACTTAATTCATTCTGGAGGTCCGTTCTTAACCTGAAACTGTTCTTAACCTGAAGCACCACTTTAGCTGATGGGGCCTCCTGCTGCTGCTGTGCCGTCGGAGCACGATTTCTGTTCTCATCCTGAAGCAAAGTTCTTAACCCGAGGTACTATTTCTGGGTTAGCAGAGTCTGTAACCTGAAGCGTATGTAACCCGAGGTACCACTGTATAGGACCACCAAATGTCCTCAGACCAGGGCCGTCTTAAGCATATTCGGTGCCGTGGTGCATAGCTCCCTTCGGCGCCTCCCCTCCCCGCCCCCATTTCCCTGAGTTGTCAACCTTTTTTTAGGGAGGACGGCGGGGCTGGAGGAAGTGGACAATGGCTGGAGGGTGGCTCCTCTGGCAGGGAAGAGGCAGAGGCTGGACGCGGTCCCTCCCAGTTCAGCTGGATGCTTCGTGCCACGGTGGCCACAGCAGACAGAGGCTCTGGGCGCGGCACTGCTTCAGTGTGGCATGGCGGAGGCAGGTGAGGGCGGCGAGCTGATGCTGGGAGGCACCGCTTCCAACCTCCGCCTCTTCTCTGGCACCCTCCAGAACTTGGCACCCTGTGCCAATAGCCTCTATGGGTAAGACGCCCCTGCCTCAGACTACAACTCCCATCAGCCTTAGATAGCATTTGTTACCTTGTGGTTAATGGGAGTTGTAGTCCAAAAGATCTTCCTGCTTCAGACTTTGCTGCCTGTATCACCCAGTCTTTCTTTGCCTCATTTTCTGTGTATCTCTGCTTATGTCTTTAAATAAAAATATTAGGGACTGTGGAATGGCATGCTTAAAAAAAAGCATTCTTTTGCAACTACAAAATCAATTCTGCATCTGAAATAGATTATGCGGATTTTGACATGTGCATGCATAGGGTGGATTCAATCTAGCACTAAGTGGGGTGTGCATGCATGGAATGAAGTCTACTTGTGCAGCAAGGACCACCCCCCTATTTCATGCCCCTGCCTGCCCCTAAACTTGTTCTTGGGGTTCCCCTAATCCTCCAGACCAGATTAAAGTGGTTCACAGTGACGGGAAGTCCCATTGCTTGAGCAGGCTTCATTTCATGCACATGGTAACTTGATTGAATCCCACCCATAGTTGCATGCATGGATATAAAATTTCTTCCCCTTTTAACAATAGAAGAAAGAACATATAGAAAAGGCCTGGAGAAGAGGATAGGAGTTGTAAGGATGGGGAGATGTTTACTGGAGGCTAAAGGTTGGGGCTGACATGTTAAGTGAGCAATGGATGCCCAAACCACCTTCATTAGGGAGGGGCCGTGGCTCAGCGCTAGAGCATCTGCTTTGCATGCAGAAGGTCTCGAGTGGGATTCAATCTCATACCGCAAATACAGGATATGCCATTATAGCTGATTGGGAGGTGTTGTACAAACAAACCCACGTAAAAGAACCCCAGCAACAACTCCACAGCCTTTTTTGGTGAGAAGGAAAGTGACAGGAAAATGCACTGGAAGTGTGGGGGTAAGCCTTGCTTTGATGCAATGTCATCACACCTCCTCACAAGCAAGCAAGAATGAATGCTCATTAAATAGCCACTGTCACTTAACTTCCTTGCAAACAAACCTGGATGAGTGCTCAACAAACAGGTTGTTTGGAAGTACCAAACATTTTGGTGGTGCTAGGAGAGCACTGAATCTGTGGGTGGTATGCAACAGTTACTCAGAGTGGAACTATGGAAATGAATGGACCTAAATTCACTCATGTTTATTAATTTTAATGGGTCTACTCTGAGTACAACCCTTTGTCAGAAGACTGCTGTGTAGTTTATAACATAGAACACAAATATTCATAGATAATATCTATACAGTGTAAAATTCTATACAATATCAAAAGTGAAAAAGTTATATATAATAATAGTAATTAAAATATATAATAAAATACAGCAACACCATAAAAATGAGGGAAGAGAAAATCGGCAGGAGGATATCTAAATTACAAAAAATAGTGCACAAATATGGAATCTTATCTCTATTGAAGAACTACATAGAGAGTACCCAAGCAGTCTGCCTCTCCTGCTGCTGTTATAAACTTGTGGATCTTGGATTCACAGTAGCCAGCTGTAATAATCCGGTTCAGGGATGAAGAACTTGTGGCCCCCCATATGTTGTTTGACTTCAATCCCCCACCGACCCTAAGTATATATCCTACAGTTTCCTCTCCCCATGTTATCAAATGGTGGGGCAGCCTAATGGTTGCATGGTGACATGGAGAAAAACCTGAAATTAATAGAATCATAGAATTGTAGAGTTGGAAGGGACCCTGAGGGTCATCTGGTCCAACCCACTGCAATGAAGAAATCTCAACTAGATCATACATGACAGATGGCCATCCAACCTCTGCTTAAAAACCTCCAAGGAAGGAGAGTCCACCACTTCTTGTAGGAGTCGGTTCCAGTGTTCAACAGCTCATACCATCAGAAAGTTCTTCCTGATGTTTAGTCAGAATCTCCTTTCTTGTAACTTGTAGTCATTGGTTTGGGTTCTAGCTTATGGAAAACAAGCTTACTCCATTTTCCATGTGACAGCCCTTGATATATTTGAAGATGGCTATCATCTCATCTCTCAGTTTCCTCTTTACCTGGCTAAGCATACTCAATTCCCTCAACTGTTCCTCATAAGGCATGGTTTCCAGATCCTTGATCATCTTGGTCGCCCTCTTCTGCACACGTTCCAGCTTGTCAGTATCCTTCTTAAATTGTGATGCCCAGAACTGGGCACAGTAATCCAGGTGTGGTCTGACCAAGGCAGAGTAGAACAGGACTATTACTTCCCTTAACCAGGACACTATACTTATGCTGATGCAGCCTAGAAGAGCACCAGCTTTTTTTGCTGCTGCATCACACTGTTGATTCTTGTTAAGTTTGTAGTCTACTGAGACACCTAGATCCTTTTCACATGTACTACTGGCAATCCAAGAGAGAGAAAATATTTGAGGCAGGTGGAACTCTCCCTCCCTTTTCAGCTAAGATGTGCTGTTGTAGCCACAGCTGCCCTGAAGAAAAGAGGCAGGGCCTTTCAGTGTGAGGCCCCAAGGTGGCAGAAGAAGGCTACAGGTATAGAGAGGAATAATAAGAGCTACTGTCATTGCTGCATACATGTAATGATGTGCACAGATCTCCGTGGAAAAAATGGTTGTGTGGGAAGGAATAAAATAGGGAAGGTCTGGGTCCAACTTTGCAACATTAATTACACTAATCTAAGGGTATTTTGCCCATTATCAACTATTTTGTGCTAATGATTACCTTTTAAAGCCCAAAATGGTCTAGGATACCTTAGGCATCACCTCCCATCTCATTCCTTTTCTCCTTCCCATGCCCCACATGTCCCCAATCAGATCTGGGGGCTGAAGAGAGCCCCCGGGTCTGCATGCAGAGGGAAGGGAGAAGAGGTCATTCCATCAGGAAAGCTGAAACGCTTGCACAGACAGAGCAATCTCCATAGCGCTACGTTGAATTCCACCCTTAGCCTGGATCCTCACAGGAGTAAGTAATGTGGCAATCTCGTGTTCACCTACCTGAGAGTAAGTCCTATACAGTATAATGCACTAGTACTTATTTCCAGTAAGTACCAGTGAGGTTTTTTTCCAGGGTGTTTGGTATGTTTAGCCTGGTGAAGAGGTGATAAATGTTTAATTTTTAGCCTGGAGAAGAGGTAATGTGATAGTCACCTTGAAATATTTGATGAGCAATGGGTTCAAATGACAAGAAAAAAGATTAGGAAGAAGGCAGTGGACTCTCCTTTGTTAGAGGTTTTTAAGCAGAGGCTGGGTACCAAGAGTGTTTCTTGGGAGGGGGTTGGACTAGATGAGTTTTGAGGTCCTGTCCAATTTTCTGCATAGGATCAGGCTGTCCATTATTCTGTTTTTTATATCAGGCTGTGATTTCTGTGGCTTATGTAGCCAAATTGTCACCTCCCACATGCAAAAGGGTCGTATCAGTCCGTTGGGAGAACCTTAAGATTTGGAGAAGTAAAAAAAAACCACCAAACCCTTTATAGCACCTAATCACACTCAGTGGCCACAGAATGCTGACTAACTGGGGGAACAGAATGGAGCAGCATGGGGAAGGACTTAACTAATGGAAGAGTGAACAAGAGCAGTCCATGCTGCAACATTTCGTTGCAGGTTCTACTCATTTCCTTCTATTATCACTGTCTCAAATGCACAGAATTCTATTTGGCTAAAGAACCTGGTTGACAGGAGAATCTAGCCTTGTTCCACGGTAGAAAACCCAACCAGTCCACAAGCCAATAATTAATTATCTTCATTATTGCTGCATGCAAACAGGGTAACGGAACAGAGAGGTAAAACACCATTTTGCAAGCTTTTGATATTGAAGGCTGTCTGAAGAAAATGTTGGTTAGCAGGCTTAAGGTTTAACTAGTGCAACTATTTGGGATAGGGCTGCAGCTCAGGGGCAGAGCAATCCGACTTGCATGGTCAGTCCCTGACATCTCCAAGCAAGGCTGGGGATGTCTCCTGCTTGAAACTCTGGAGATCAGCTACCAGGCAGTGTTAAGACAGTCCTGACCAGGATGGGCCATTGGGTCTGACTCAGCATAAGGCAGCTTCTCGTAATCCTAACCAACCCATGTAAAGTGTTCTTGACTGGTGGGAGGGTAATTCTCACAAGCAGGGAATGTCAGAGGGAAATGAGGGGCAGATGCCATGTACTGCAGGGTATTTAATAGGGAGAGCTTCTGCTTTCCAGGCAGTCTCCCGTTCCCTAGGTATGCCCTGCATTCATTGTTCCTAGAGGGATGACCTTGCATCTGGCTGCAGCAACATGTTTCTTGGAACAAGCCCAGCATAGCAAGCAATTCAGAGAGCTGGAAGCGCCCGGTCCTTCCCATTAATTACCACTCTAGCCATTTTGTTTCTTGGGCATGCTTTATTGGCAGGGATTTTAAGACCTTTCTCCAGATTGCTGATTAAAAAAGCATATTGAAGACCGCTGGGCCTGCAGGCGATCCCTCTGGGATCTTAATGCAGACATCTCTGGTTTTGGTGCACTTAATCATTGGATTGTGCACTTTATCGATATGGCGTGGTGCTACTTTCTTAATTGGAATGTCCTAAGGAAGCAAGTCCAAGTCCCTTGAAGCTGTTTTTTTGTAATGACTCGGTTACCCTTATGAACCAGTGCTTGTAAATAATAAAAAGAGCGATCCCAGAAGATGCTGGGCAGCAACACTGACCGTGTGGGCTGGGAAGTGGAAGAAGGGAGGGAGGAAGTGCTTGGAGGTGAGTTGGCTTCTCCAGTTGTCCCAGGAGGGCACAGTAGAACAAGGCAGAAGTGGCATCTGCAGGGAACTCCCAAGTAACTCCCTTTCCACCCCCTGCTAGATATGCTACAGAAATCAGAGCAGAAGCACAAAGGAGAAGCAGCTAGCCACCACTTCAGTCCTGGGCCCTAAGTAGGGGTAGAATCTACTGCAAAACTAATGAATCTTAAGCTTCAGGGCCCCTATTCCCAGAGGGGCCCCAGAAGTGAATTTGGTACACATTGCTTAAAATTTTGGGGTCTAGTAATCCCAATTTGAGTTGTACAACTCAAATTTGTTTATTTGTTTTTGGCTGTGTATAGTTCAACAACCCCATAGTTTGAGAGTCAGTAGCACAGATGTTGTAAAGGTGTAGTGATCTATCATGGAACAACTCCATTGAAGAAGGTAACACTGGTTACCCAGACATTGTTGCTAGTTGCAAAGGGGCCCCCATAAGAGTTCAAGCTTCCAGGCCCCCAAAATGTAGGTCCACCACTGGTCCTAAGTGTGAGGAATGGATTTCTGTTTTTTAGGGTTCTATCCTGTGTTCATCATATTCTGATAATGGACATGACTAACTTAGGTCTATTAATTCCAGTGGGTTTCCTCTGCGGAGAGCTTAGTTGGATACAACCCTTAGTCTGCAAAGTGCTTCACTGTCTTTCCCCTACAGAAACTGGCGAGTGTTTCAGTTGAACTGGGAGACCATGTCCTAAGAGGGAGGCTGCACTGTCAGGTCTTGCCTGCATGCTGCATTGGAATTGCCTCCCAAGGGTCTCATCTCACAGCTATGTGGATGCAGAGGTGGTCATGCTTTGAAAGTGAATACCCAAGGTTCAGTCTTTTGACGTGCATCAAAAGCCTGTTATCAGTTGAGTAGATGGTGTTGGGTTAGAAGATCCAATGTTCTCCATCGATAAAGGCTGCTTTGTATGTTCATAAGCCCCCTGCCTGAAGGCTTTTGTGAAACACTGTTATTCTTCACTGCCCTTGTCTCTTGTCTCAATGTTCTGGTGGTGGTGAGGTAGGTTATTAATATCCCCATTTTAAAGTGTGAATGGTGACACAGTCTCTCACCCAAGGCTTGGTGTGCTTTGAGAGAAAATCCTATGCAAAGGGACCCCCAGATTTTGCAGTAAGAAGAGTAGAATTCTGCAACCTGTATAACTCACGTAGATTAGCAGTTTCACCCCTCCCTTAATTATGCACAATTTATTCAGCTGCTCTGCCCACCATGGGGAGTAGTAAGGAGCTATGTAGGGCACTGAAGCCTCACACCCTGAACGCTGGGCTTTTTATACAGTAACAACTCTGCCTTCTGAGAATTACCCATACAAGTTCAAGCCTATCTTTACAACCATAAGGTCTAGAAACATGCTTACTTATTTAAAAGAAAGTCGGGAGAGAAAACAGAGATTCTTAGGATGCTGAATTTTGCTGTCAATACCTCATTCTGCAGATTATTAGCCATCCAGTAAGTGCATGGTTGATGAGGGATTTTTAGGTCTTTTATGGGCATGCTTGGAGCCCAAATTACACTTGATGTTAAGTGGGTATTTGCTTCTTACTTTTGCTAATGGGAGATCCCCCCACCATCAAATGCCATCTTTAGGGAGATGGGAGAAGAGGTCCTCAGAACTGCAGCAGGAGCAGAAAAGAGCTATATTTGCCCTTCACCCTACTCTGATCACATTTTCTCCCTGCCCCACAATCTGATACCACTTCCACATTTTTACAAACCTGTATGTTAAATTCAAAGGAAGATTTAACTTCAGCTCCAGTTTAGCCATCTGTTTCTCCTGGCCCACTCTTCCCAGGATCAAGGAGAACTGGACAAGAGGGGCTAGAATGCTGTGCTGGTGCTGATGCCTGATCCCTGCTGTTCTGAACTGTGCATCTCCCTTAGGCAGGTTTGCCGTAGGAAAAGAAATACTTGCTGAAATTGGTGAAGCTCTGGAGGTGTAAATTTGTCCTCAAGGGACAGATGCCCACAAAGTATCCATTTTGGAATGGAGGTTGTTTACAAGAGCTCAGGTCACCTCAATTGCTGGGCAGGCAGGGTGTGAAATCTTTGGCTGTGGCCTAACCTCTTTCTTGGCTGTCAGCATGATAATGCTCTTTGCCAAGGAGGGATTTAGCATCTGCAGGACAATTGCTGGAAAGCTTCCAAAGGAGTAAAACAGCCCTTGTGCCAATTATACTGCTGGAAGGAGGTATTGGTAGTGGATGGGAGCCTCCGGCATGCTGGAGCCCTCCCTCCCCAACTGCCCAGGACTGTCTGGGATACTTTAGGTGCTATGCACACCTGACCCCAGCATGTCCCCATTGGACCCGTTAAGGGAGATCAGATCATAGCAGATTACACTGCCTAAGAGATGACTTACTGTGACTGCTCTGACAGCGGCCTCCAGCCGTCACATACCACACTCTCCGATGCTGTGCACCCCTCTCCCCTGGCCGATTATGGGATTCCCTGCTGGGAGGGCTGGGTGCTGTGGTGTTAGCTGCATTTCCAGGACCTGGAAGGCTATATTTGCCTGCACATATGGGCTTGCAAGGGCAAGGCGCACATCCTTATTTTGAACAAAGCCCCCAGGCATGAGCAGGGCAGCTTGCAGAGGAGGAGGAGGAGGAGGAGATGCAGTGGCCTCATATGTTTAAGCATGGATTCTGCTAGCACATGCTCCAGAGAGGCAGAGGAACCTCAGGAAGAAATGCTGGATGCAGCAGTGCTTGGAAAGGATTGCTGGCCAGACAAATATGGCCAATGAAAGCACTGCTGGAGGGAGGGGGGCATGATTAATGCCACCCTTCCCTGGAAGAAGGCAATGTGGAAAGCACAGTGTGTCAACCAAAGTCGTTTTTGCTCCCTGGTGGTTCAGCATTTTAAAAGGTTTTATTGCACCACTCAGGCACCTGTTTCTGCCTTCATCCAGCTCCCCACTTGCCCATTTTGTTGCCTGAAGCAGATAGCTTCACCTGGTGCATGACAGGACTGGCTCAGGGGGAGCAGAGTTAAGGGCTAGCAAGGTAAGTTGATCCCACCTGCTGCTGCTTCAGGATGCTCCACAAGGGGGTGGTGTGACCAGGAGCACTAAAACAATGTTGGGTATATCCATGAAAATCAGTGGAGTTGGAGTGGGGGAATATAAGCTCCATGGAGATGTGGTGATATACTTTTGGGGCTCAGCTTTCTTTTAGTACAAGGCCTCAGCCTTGGCATATGTGAAACTTTAATAAAGCGCGGAGTGCCTTTGAATGTGTACAGATTGAATTCACTTGACTGCTTTTTTTATTTTATTTTTATCTTGCCTTCTGTTATAGAACTCAACAGTTTGCCTCCATAAATCTAGGTTTTGGAGCAGGCAGAGCTTTCCAGACGTGGCTCAAGCCACAAAACACCTCCTGCTACGGTTTCTGTAAATTATCATAGCACGTTCTTTGCATATTCAGGCAAGCCTTGAGAGTTACACTTAAAATGGCCTCCTGCATGAGTCACTGCAGATTCAGGTAGATGTTGATGTGATAGTTGTATTCTAAGAGCAGTTTCCCTTCACAGAGGAAGGCTCACCTACAAATACCACTGTACCCGATACACAAGGCCTGTCCCCAGGGTTGCCATTGGATGCCCCGCACAGCACTTAATGGTGAAACCTGCCTGTGTCAAATGGCACTGCAAGTCACATTGTTTCATAGGCATGCATCTTTGCATAAGCTCACCCTCATGACTGTACCGTGCATGCAAGCTGCTAATTCACAGCACAGCCAGAAGATAGATGTGGAGTCCTTAGGATTTTGGCAAGCTCAGCCACTCACCTCACATGTAGATTGTATTTTTTTAAAAAAATATTTTATTAATTTAGCATAGTTATTACAAAATCAAAACAAAATATTACAATTACATAACATATGTACAAAGTTCTCGATAATGTTATTAATAAAAAAGAAAAATATAGAAGAAAGAAAAAAGGAAAGGAAGAAGGAATAAATCTATAAAAAGGAAAAGAAAATTAGAAAAAGAAAATAGGAAGAGTTTCTTCCAAGTTTATTCTACATCTATTTCAATAGGTAAATAATAATAAAATTTCATTGATTGACTTCCACCGCTTACACTGCACTTCCTATAAACATTTTAAACAAAGTTACAGTATATCTGTTATTCCGTATTTTTTTCTCCGATAGAATCCCACATAGATGATCAATTCAATAAATTATCTAGATCTCTCACAAGTCTACTCTAAACACAACCAAAACCCTATTTGATCCTTGTCTACATAAATTATAATTTAAACATTTCCATTGTTTCTGTATTATACTTTTCAGTTTTTGTTTTATTAAATCAGTTAACTTTGCTAATTCCAAATATTCGCATAGTTTGTTCAATCATTCCTCTTTGGTTGGAATGTGGGAATGAAGATTTATTATTGTGTAGCTTTTCTTTATCATCTCACAGCACAGAAACTGACGTAACTGTAGCTTTGATTTTGATAGCACCTCATGAATTGAAAACCTAGCAGAAACCTGTGATATCTGGACTTTCATTTGGTCTTTGTTAAGATCTGATAGCTAGGAAGTTCAGGCTTATCTATGTATATGTGATAAACCAGGTTCCATTTTGCTCTTTTGGATACATGGAATGAAAGAGGCGGCTCGCAACACTGAAGAGCTGAGCTAGTACAGTATAGTTGTTTCTACCTGTGGAATACCCCGCCACAAGAAGTCAGTGGAAGATCATCACCCCTCACAAAAGATTTACACTGCAGAAAGTAATATGGTATTCTCTTTCACATTCTCCTCAGCATCAAGCTGCAATTTACAGCTGAAGGCTTATCCCCCCCAAAAAAGCAGAATTGCTGCTTTTCTGTTAGTGCTATACTTAATGCTAGCATTGGCAAGACACTATTCTGCCTTGAGGTGGGATACACAATCTTCCAGTAATAAACTTCCATTTTTAAAAAGGCAGAGGAATCTTATTGGGTTTGATGATGTTATTTTTTTTAATTTTTAATGGGTGCATGTGGACCCACACACTTCATTGGTAGAGACTCTGCCTCCAAGGAAGAATTTAAAATCCCATCCAGGCACTGACCAGACAAAGAACAGCTTGGTGTTTCAGCAGGTGGCTGCGTCATGCATCCTCAGTTGATTCCTTAGAGTTTCAAAAAGATGTGGGGAGAAAGGGGGAGTTGCATCAATCATTCCTAGTGATGTCACAGGCATTAGCCAATGAATGCCTGTGATATTCGTACACCTACATAGCACCCACATCATTCACAACCATCATTGCTGCTTGCCTACCAGTCGGGCTATTTTCTCAGTGACAAAATGTTGTCGTTTGTAGGTTGGAACTGGGCAATATACATTCAACACAAGTGCTGCCTTGAAGAAAGACACACCTGGGTTACCTGCAACAATTGTGTAACATTTGTGCATTTATTGTGTACAGGCACACTAAAAAAAAAAGTCCAGAGGGATAGCAATTTCAGTCATGAAGTCCTGGGAATAAGCCAGATTTCACCACTAGGGGGCCTTTTGCATTATGTCAGATGAGTTTAAGGCCAATAAATTTGGTACACAGGGTTCCTTCTGTCAAGGGATAAGCAGCTCCACCTTTCAGTATTTGTTGCAGACCTCATAATGAGTATGACTCTTGCCAACAACAACTGCTTTATTCTGCCTGTCACATTTCCCTGCTATTGGCATCTTGCATGGTGAATGATAGGCAGCTGCCACCACCCATGTTCTTTGAGATAACCAGCCTCATTTTATTTGGATCTTGTCTTGGTGCCTCTGAGTCAGCTGTGATGTCAGATCTGTGCACTTGGCATGGACAGTTCAACTTAAAACCCAATCTCCCCAGTTGTAGCTTCTTGCCTAGAACCTTGTAAGCGATGCAACATTTCGGGAGCTGATCATCTGCCTGCCTTGTGTTTTGTTAATGAGGTTTATCTTCTTTTATTAACACTGCACCATGTGTATGTGGTGTCAGGGTGTGCTAGACAGCTTTTTATAGCTCAGCAAGTTTCCCTCCAAACAGCTGCTGCCTACTGTTCTCTCACATCGCTCTACTGTAATTTTGCAGCCCCCTGCCTCCCTTCTTAGACACTGTCTCTTGGCTAGCTCTCAAGTTTGTTTGACTAGAGGACCAAGCCCTAGGAACATCAGTCTAAAGGATGGGGGACTTGTGGCCCCCCAGATGTTTATGACCTCCAGTTCCCATCAGCCCCTGCCAGCAAGATCAAAGGTCAAGTATCATTGGAGTGTACTTCAGTGATGTATGGTGTGTGGTGGCGGAGTGTCACCTGGAGGACCTAAGGAACAAATTGCTTGTTGTAACCGTACATGTCCATTCAAACCCTGAGAGCTACTTGTGATTTGGAGTGGGGAAGGCTGGAAGGGAGTGCTTAACCTGGACACCACTTGCCTTGAAATATTCCCAACCCTTCACTTTGGGGTTCCAGAAATGTTTGGAAATGGAGGTGGGCTGGGAGCTGGGAGCAGAAAAGCAAGTGCTGGGGGAAGAGTTCAAGCCACACATTCCACACAATGGCTACCCCTAGCCATGATGTCTGCATTGCTTCCAGTCTTAGAGGCAGTATGTCTCTGATTGCTAGCTGCTGGTTATCACCAGTAAAAGTCATGTCTTGCTTGGCCACCGCAGAGCTGTTCTTATCTTAAGTCTCAGTCAGTGGGTTCAGGATTGCAACCTGACTTTGTGGTCATAGGTGGTGCAGTAGTTAAGAGTGTTGGACTGAAAGATCCAGATTTCAATCACTGCTAGAGCCATGAAGCTCATTCCGTGACTGGGACTGCCCTGCTCCTTCCTTCCTTGCATAGATGCAGGGTGGGAGCCCTGGTGGTCAGTAGGGCTTGCTGGTGGAGAGTGGCTGAGAGGCAAGCTGGCAGCTAGACAAGCCATGCCATTTTTCTGCCTTGCAGTGAGGTCTGATAAGGAACAGCTGGGAGAGACAGAGGTGTGGACAGCGAGGGTTCAGAGTTATTATTGTTGTTTATTGAATTTGTATACTGCCCTTCATCCATAGATCTCAGGGCGGTTCCTTATAACAGAGGAGGAAGGTAAGGGGCGTGAGGGTCCAGCCAAGCCCAGCAGGAAGAAGGTGCTGGAGAGGAACTAGAGGAGGAGCAGGCCACAGGGAGAGTGGACACCTAATCAGTGCCCCAGCAGGGAACTGCTGGATTGTATTCAGTGGGGAATCGGAATGTGATGGCACACCTTGCTCCTAATAAATACGTGAATTAAACAATCCAGTGGTTGTGTCTATTTTGTGTGAAGGAAGAGAAGGACCAAGGGCATAGACACATGGCCTTTTGATGTACCCTTGCACATAGAAACCCAACAGTGATGTTGGGCCAGTCATTATTTCTCAGCCTTACCTACCTCACATGTTTACCTTTCCAAACTATAAGGCCATGACAATAAGGGCATAACTGCACAGATACGATTTGATCACTTTTTCCTTTCTCTTCATTACATACCCCACAGAAGGCTGTGTTTCCTGCCACCATGTTGTGAACCAGCCCAAGAGCAGGAGAGGCAGTATAGCATTATTTTAAATATGGGCATTGACTTCTTTCAGGTTTTTTTCTACATTCTATTACTCTTGGTGCCATAACCCTTCTTCTTTGTGGCATGGAGTCATTTGGGTGACTGGTCTCAGTATGGTTGGCTTATCGAGTTCTGGGAGATGTGGAGGTGGCTGTCTCTCCAAGAGGGCTAAAAGCACGTGTGTAGTCTCAAAGAGGTGGGGATTAAGTTTCAGAACAATGATCAAGGATCAGAGGGATCCAAATCAAGTGAGCTCCTCTCCTTTTGGGAGTTGTGTTCCTCTATCCTTCAAAAAGAAATTCAGTATGTGGAACATATTGTGTCCTTTTATGGCAAGTTGTATCAGCCTCATTTCCCCCTCCACAAATATTAAAGACCCAGGATCTTTGCTTTTGGTCAGCTGAAGTACTAGTGGGGCCTTCCCTTGAGTGAGCACTTAGGTCAGGAGCAGGGAGCCTTTGGCCCTCTAGATGTCACTGGACTACAACTTCCATCAACCCCAGCCAGCATAGCCAATGGCCAGACATGATGGGAGCTATAGTCCCAAGATATGGAGAGCATTATGTTGGCTACTCCTACATAACACTGTAACACCACCAGGAAAAAAGAACAATGGGGGGGGGGGAAAGGTCAGTATGGAGTCGTAATTCACATCAAATGTGTGTGAGTAATATGTGCACACAGCTGGCTCTTCAGGATTTATCTCAGGTATTCTGACTGGGCAAACAAGCCTGCTGAGGTAAAACATACAGGGATGGAGAAACTGTGGCTCTCTAGATGTTCTTGCACCCCACTGCCATGAACCCCAGCCAGTCGCTTATGGATGATGGGAGTTGAAGACCCAAAATATGAGGGCCGCATTCCTGGCACAGAGCCTGAAGATTGGTCAGAAGCAGATGTTTCTGAGACATAGGCACAAAGTCTGAAATGCTGCCTGCTTCCTAAAGGGTTGATCTCCTAAATTTCCTCCCATGTTCTGAAGAAGACAACTTGAATAGGATTGACCATATCCAATATATGGATGAAAGATTAACTATATTTGGAAGTGTTCCTTCTCACAATTTTTTTATTCTGCAGGAAGATTATTTCTCTGAGAAGAGTCTGTGGCTGGGATGCTGAGGAAATGTGGGCTGGGTCTGAAGGGCATTGGCTAAGCTTTATTTGCTTCTCCTTATCTTGTGTGGCTATTTATTGCACTGCACATTTTCTCAGGTGACGTTGCTCTTCTCACACATTTTTGAACTATGCATCCTTTCTCTTTCTCTTTTTAGGAAGCAAAACTCGGGAAGGTGTTGCAGGTGTGGCCTCAGGTATTGGCTGCTTGTGTTCTCCTTTCCCATGCTTTGCCTGGTCACTGAGTGGGCGGCTGTGCTAAAGCGATCACAGGCTAACAGGACAAGCGCTGTCATTAAAACCTCTTATGTAACTGGGCCCAGGACAAAGCCTTCCAGCTGCTTCTCACGCGTCTGCAGAGCCAGCTGTGGGGATTGGCTAAGATACCTGACCCCAGCTTTCCAGAGAAGCAGGCATACAAACCTGGAAGCCTTGGTGAACTTGAACTTGCAAAGTACTAGGGCGGGTAAAGGAATGAGCTTACGCACATTGGTGGAGAAGAAACTGTGATGCCGGGTGAGGGCCCAAACAGAGGGGGGCGGGTCCTATGGTGGAAGAAGGATTATTGCTTGGCCTTGTGAAACATGTACATAGATAGCAGAGTAGATAGATACAATTCATACGTCTGCTACAGCAGCCTTCAGTCACCAGACCCCTGCTAGACTCCCTTCCAGATGATAAGATCCTTTGCCCCTCATTCAAGATGTGAAAGGCCACATACTGTTAATCTAGAATAAGGAGCTAACTGCATGGCCTCAATATGTTGGTCGCTCTCTTCTGGCTTTCAGTTGCTGAGAAGACGAAGGAGCAGGCATCTCAGCTGGGTGGAGCCGTCTTCTCGGGGGCTGGCAATATCGCAGCTGCCACAGGCCTGGTCAAGAAGGACGATTTCCCCACTGACCTGAAGGTGAGCATCCCACACTCTTCAGGTGACCTTGAGAAAAAGCACATAGCCCTTGGCCATATAAAAGTCTCCAATAGAAAGGCAGCTCATCCTTGGAGCCTACTGGGACTATCAGTAGATACGATGGGCATTTGAGATTGGTGCAAGATTCCACTTGCCTTGCTCCATCCCACAAAACAGAATCTTGGATATGGTATGGAGTTTTGCTGTATGTTGCTCTTGACAGAAGATAAGCACAATTGGTTGAGTAGCACAAGATGGAAAGGCAACAAACTTGTGTGACAGTGACATGAACATGTCCAGGATGCCCATCATCCTGGCACCTCTCAGACTGAGGGTACATAAGCAGTGTGGACAGATACAGGCATGCACGGGCAGAAGAACAAACGCCCTTGCATGAGAGTATGTGCACTGTGTGCTATGTAACAACATGCAATGAATGCCCACATGGGCACAGTGTAAGTCTCCAGGCCAGTGACAACTGCACATTCCAGAGGGATGTTTGCATACATTTATGTCGGCATCTCACTTCTGTGTGCATCGATGTGCTTCGTGTTGTGTGCGAACATGTACGTTTGTGCCGGCATGTGCTTCGAAGCCTGCCTACGTGCACGTTTGAGAATGAGTGTGTTTCTCACAGTAGGTGGGTGGGCGGGCAGCCTGCACTGAAACGGTCTGGCAGCTGCAGGGCTGGTCGATCTGAGGAAGGGCTCTCGAATCTTGCAGCCGAGCTGCCACAACGAGCTGAGCCGTTTGCTTCCAGCTTAGCTTAAAATAGCAACAGCTGAAGAAGAAATGAGGCCAGCGCAGCCAGGCAGGAGCAGGCACTCTGTTCTACTCAGCATGGGGGAAGGGAGCTGCGCATCGTCCCCCCTTCTCCCCACTGAACAGCTCCTGTCCCTCGATGAGAAGCACTGTGCAGGGCCAATCACAGCTCAGCCCTTCCTCAAATGGAAGGTTGTAGATCTACCAGCCACTCTTGCAACTGAACTGGGGAAATAGAATAATTGAGCATATATTAAGGCTTCATCCAGACATCTAAACATGTGTAATACAGGCCACCTGACCTGTCATTTTTGGTCAGCCAGACTACATATCTGAAGTTAGGTTCTGGGCATGGAACTAAAATGGAAATTCAATACTTACCAGTGACAATTTCTGTTCTTCATAAGTGTGGGGATTGTCCCCCCTCCAGGGTCAAGAAGGCAATTCTCCAATTTTAATGTTTAGGGGAGGAAGGACCCCTCCCCTAAACCCCCAGACACTTCAAACCAAGGCAACATTTCTAATGACGACTCTAAATTAGAACAAGCAAGCCCACAGAGGCAGCAACAGATTGAATTTGGGCCTCTGAAGGGCAGACTACAGACTTAAGTAAAAATGAATTTATTGATAAAAATATGCAGTAATAACACACCATCTTTCCTCTTACGTGTGGGGTGAACCTCCAAATCATTCCATAGGGCAGGAATGGGGATCCTGTGGCACTCCAGAGGTTGTAGACTATAACCCCCTCTGTGCCTGATCATTGGCCGTGTTATATAGGGCTGATGGGAGTTGTAGTCCAAAAAACAGATGGAGACCTTGAAGCTGTTAAATTATGTTAGTTTGTGTTCATATATTTACTTTTTGTATTTACTTAAGATTATTTCTAATTGCTTCTAATCTGTCATTTGAATCATTATACTTATTGAGCACTCAATACATTGTGAGCCACTTTTTGTGGGACAATTTTGTGGGAAACCAGCGTACAAATAAACAAGGATGCTGAATGAGAGCAGTAGCATCTCCTGGACCTACAGTGTCCCTTTTGTTGGAGTGTGAGGAAGTGAGATGTATTGTGACACCCGTGGCTGTGATAACCTCTGCAGCTGCTATGCATGGCATATCTCCCTCTAGCCCTGTGGGGAATGTATTGCTTGAGGCTCTGTTCTTTGCTCTGGGAATATTACAGCATGCTTGGGCGAGGCCGTGGCCAAAGGTGGCATTAATCCAAAGAAATTTCAAAGTGAGGATGGATATTATCTCCCTTCACTGCAGTGGGGTAGGGGAGTGTTTTGACTCTTGATGCCCTCTGGTCTTCCTTGGAGAAGACGACACTGATTGCTGAGTGCTCTCCCACCCTGTCCCATTGGGGCAACACTTGTGGGGGTTTCCCCGCCAAGGCATCCCTGTGCAGATCTGCCATGACTATATTTCATGTAGCGAGGAGCTGTATGGCATTTTGTTTGAAAGCCTAGGAGGGAAGTGAGCATAGACAGCGGTACTGAGTCTCTTCCTCTTATTTGGCACTCTATGGAAGTGGTCCAGATTTCAAACTCCCACTGACGTTAGTCATGCAGGAAAGAGGCAAAGTGTGCTGTAAGGGGACAAATTATCCCTGCCAATGCAGCCAAGCTACGAATCAGAACAAGACAAGCTATGAGAGGTCTCTCTGTTCCACTTTCCCAATGCTTGACTTGCCATAATGGGTGGCGACTGCTGCTTGGCTCTCATAAAAAGCTGGAGTCTGCCTGTGCTGAAGACAGGAAGTCACCTGGGGGTTGAAAAAGAGAGGACCTTCCTCCTCCCCAAATGAAAAGTGGAGATGGCCTTCCCAGCCCCAGAGGGACCTATTCCTGTACTGCCTGTCCTCCTACAGTAGAGAGATTCTAATCCCCAAAGTTCGAGGAGAAAGGAGCCTATAAGAATGGGACTACTTTAATACAGAGCATGAAGGCAGTTATTCCTCCAAGGTGGTGAGTCTTGAAGGCAGCTGGCCAAACCTGCAAGAACAAGACCTGAGAATCCAGAGAGGTATTCCAAGAAAGCTCCTGAGTACTTAATTGTTAGGGGAAAAAACATCTTGGGGAGCGATGTCTGTAAACCTTCCTGGGACTTTGCAGAAAATAATGCCTGCCTCCCTGCAGCTGTAAAAACACTTGCAACAGAGTCGGAATGAGTGTCAGCAAAGCTAAAGGGTAGGTAGCAACAACTGGCAGCCCTTGGGCTAAACCCTGTCCTCATCTGCACTCTCCCTCCAGGTGCCTATGTGACCATAGGACTAGTTATTAGGGCCATTTCACTGCAGAGCTGGACTCCGGCCCTTGACTCCTCTTCAACTAATATACTAATTATATTGGTATTCAACTGGTTAAGTAGGGTTGTTAGGGGCCGCTGGGCTTGCTTACTTCTCCTTTCCATAGTCTCAGGAATGCTCAGTGCTACAAAGTACTTGCTCTTTTTTGTTAATAAAAGCTTTCTAAAATATTACTGTAAAAGGTGCTCACATCTTACAGTACACCTCCCACAGCATCTGCAGCATGCTGATTTTGACTCTGCTGGACTTTCAGAAGAGACACATGGGAAGGACACTGTCAGTGCTTAATAAGATGTTATTCTTTCCACAGCCTGAGGAGGTTGGTCAGGAAGCTGTGGAGGAGCCACTGATAGAGCCACTGTTGGAACCTGAGGGTGAGAACTACGAAGAACCCCCGCAGGTGAGTGGAAAAATAAAGGCAACCTGATGAACAAATGGGGCAGGGGGAATGCTGGGAAATAAAGTATCTTGGCCTCCCACCAGCCCCCTCTGAAACAGACCCGCACACGTCCTAACAACTGATGCAGGATGGGTGTGGTCTGCATTAAGAGGTCACAAGCAAGCAGGTGGTGAGGAAAGGGGAAATACTATAGTATACACACAACATTTTGCATGCAAAAAGTCCCAGATTCAATCCTGGCATCTCTAGGTAGGGTGGGGAGAGACTCCTGCCTGCAACCCTGGAGAGACCTGAAAGCCAATGTAGACAATATTGAGCTTTGATGGACTACTGGTCTTGTGTACTGGGAGGCTTCATTGGGAATTTGAGGAAGCAAACTGGTTGTATAGTCATGCAGGAGAGAAGAGTAGCTGCATTCACAGGAGCTCTTAGTGATCTAATCTGTGCAGATAAATGTAACTGAACAGAATGGGGGAAAGGCTGTATGTTTGAGCTGGTTAGGGCCCAGCTTGGGGACAGCTATCATGTATGGTAGTTAATGCAACTGGCACAGCCAACCTAACAGGAGCTTAGCAAGGGCAATCTAGGAATAAGCCCAGGGCCTGTATCTCAGGTAAGCTTATCCATGTGGGGTCTACCTGGTCACCTCCAGTGCTGGGTTGTTCTGACTCACATCCTTGTTTCACTTCATGACATTTATTCTTTTCAGGAGGAATATCAGGAATACGAGCCGGAAGCATAATGGCTACCCCTGTTCCCGACACTTCCACCAGCAGCACAATAACAATAATGACCCTCCCCCTCCCATCCCTCCTCCACCTCTCCAAAGGAAGGCCTTGATGCAGATGGCGATGGAGAGGAGCCCCAACACCCCATCCTGTCATGAGTTCTTCCTCCAGTTCTGCTCCAAGGGACCTCATCGGGATCTGTGTTTTATGTATCGTGGTCTTTAGCATTAAGAGAAGAATTCTGAAGGCAAACCCTGGCTGCAGCGGTTTGTGTGTGCGCACATTTGAGAGCCCAGCCTTACTGCCCTGTCTCCCTCCCAGCGCAGTAAGGCCAGGCTTCCTTGTGTCAGTAAGAAGCATGTTGTATCTTCTCCGTTTTTAAGCAGAGCATTCCATCACCTCGGCCAGGACCCTGCATTGGGCCTGCTGTACATTTGCTTGCACGTGAATCACGCCAACTCCGCTTCATTACCATTGGTGGAACTTTTTTTTATATCTCTGAATGGATTGTTTACGCCTTTGTGATCTGTCCCTTTCCTGAGCCCCCGCCCCTGGCCTTGTAACAGAGACTCCCTGATTTTGACGGTTCAGAAGTTGTGTCTGTGTATCCCAAACAAAAGGAATACCCTCCCTCTCCTGCCCCCAGCGCTCTGTGTTGTGACTGTGGCATGGATATATACCTCCCACTGTCGCTGTGTGTGCAATCCTGGGGCAACTGCCAGTGACACAGCTGCCCCTGTGTCCATGAATAAAGCCAACTCTTGTCTGTACCTTCTTGTCTGCCTCCACATTGTTCACAAGTCAAGAGGAAAGCAGTCGCCTTGCTGTGTGCTGCAACCAGGGGTGGCTTTTATAGACCAGGTCTCCTGTAGCTACTCTGAAACAGTGCAATAAATATATCCTAGGAGTAGGGAGAGGCATCGCTTCTAGCAAGGAAAAAGTAAAAACAGATTCAACACCAGTGGAGGCTCAAGTACCCAGATGCAAAGGACAACAAGGTTCCTTTTAATATTTAAAATGAAACAGGCATTTCAGCAAATACAACCTTGGAAAGAGATCAAAAATAAAACTGATAGTATTATAAAGGCTTTTATAGATACCTACGATGTGACCACCATTAGAAAACTGTGTAAACTTTGGGCCAACACATTTCAAAAAAGATATTGTGAAGTGAGAAAACAGGCAGAAAAGCATAACAGAAATAACTGGGGCTGGAACTCCTATAAGGAAAGGCTACATTTGGAGCTTGGAGGGGTTTTTATTTTTAAAAAAGCAAGTAAGGGGAGATCAACATTTATCAAATTATGCAAAGTTTGGAGAAAATGGACAAAACTTTCTCCCTCTCCTAACATTAGAACCCAGGATCACCCAACAAAGTTTTAGAATGGGAAAAGGATGTGCTTCTTCAAACAGTGCATAGTTAATTTATGAAATATGCTACTACAGGATGAGATGGCTACTAGCTTTATAGCTTTGAATGGGGATTTGTGGAGGGCAAGTCTTATCAATGGCTATAAGACATGGTGACCTCCAGTTGCAGAAAGTGTACACCTTTGAATTAGCAGTTGTTAGGGAATAACTATAAAAAGGTAAAGAAAACCCTGACCATTAGGTCTAGTCACGGACGACTCTGGGGTTGCGGCGCTCATCTCGCTTTACTGGCTGAGGGAGCCAGCGTACAGCTTCCAGGCCATGTGGCCAGCATGACTAAGCCGCTTCTGGCGAACCGGAGCCGCGCACAGAAATGCCATTTACCTTCCCGCCGGAGCAGTACCTATTTATCTACTTGCACTTTGACATGCTTTTGAACTGCTAGGTTGGCAGGAGCAGGGACTGAACAACGGGAGCTCACCCCGTCACAGGGATTCGAACCGCAAACCTTCTGATCAGCAAGCCCTAGGCTCTGTGGTTTAACCCATGGCGCCACCCACTATGGGAGAGGGTTATTGCCTTTGTGTACTACTTGTAGGTTCCCACAAGGGGTCTACTTGGCCACTGAAGGTTGCAGGATGCTGGATAGATAAACCTTTAGTCTGATGCACCAGACAGAGCTGTCTCAAGGCCAGGACAACCTTCCCAGGCCTACTGCCTAGACCAGGACTCCCACTTCCCAAGAGCAACATTGAAGATGAACTCGCTGGCACAGCCACCGCTACAGCAGCAGCAAAATGTACGTCTGGAGAGGTCACTGCACCATCACCATGAAGAGGAGGAGTGTCAGAGATACTGGGAAATGAAGGCAGAAGGGGAGCCTACACAGTGTGATTTGCCTCAGGCCCTGCACCTGCAAGGCTCTTAGGTTAAGCTGCACCTGCCATAATTTGCTCTCTTACACATCAGTACTTAAAAAGATACAGGAACCTTTTCAATCTTTACATCTAGTGAACCTAACACTAAGGCAGCTGCTGAGAGTGTTTCAGGCACTAATTACTACATGTTCAAGTGCAGTGCTGTCCATTGTAGCAGATGAGGGAAGACAGGACGTACAACTCTTGCTGAGTAAGGTATTCAATGTACCTCTCTGTACATTTGGGAAAAGTGAAATGCCCACTCAAAAGCTGTTGTTCAGGCAGGCTGCAACAGAGGGAATAAATTCTGTGCTTCTGAAAATTGAAAGATGTTTAATATAACACAGTTTTATTGGATGCATCCTTTTCAAGTATGGGCTGTCTTCTGTGATGGTTAATCTCTGCTAAGCTGCCCAGCCAACACTGGTATCATTGCTACAATAAATGTTAGAAAAGGCTTCTGGAGGCAGACAATTTTTGCACTGTTTTGGTCTATTAGAGATTGCACAAATCTCTAGCCATATATATTAAAATCCTTTTATATAACACACCCAAATATTAGAGGCAAGCTAACGCTATGCCCCTTATCAATAGCAAAGGTCTTCTGGATAAACATGTCTAAGTCTCTTCCACCATGGCCCATGTTCCAACCTCCTATTTTGATTTTACCAGTGCCTGCACATGTAGCAGTCCACATTTTTTCAGAGCTTTCGAACACTCAAGTCAGCTGATGAGGCCTGGCTTTACTTAGTACATGCTATGTTGATTATTGACTTAATGTGCTGTGTAACAGTACACAGCTATTAACTGTGGTTTTCAGTAAAGCACCCACTAATTTGTCTGATACACATACACCAGGGTCATAGTGGTGGCACACATGCATACATAAAAGAAATTTAATATCAAGCTACCTGGGTGATGTCCCCAGTAAACATTTCCAAATGCGTAATTTCACACTTAGAACTACTGCATTTTATGCATTTTTTCAAATGAAGTCAGTTTATCTGCATAACTCAACCCCTAACCTAAGGTCTTTCTCTAAGACCGTCAAATAAAACACTGAATAAAATACTCCTAAAAGACCAGAAATATAATTTCCTTTATTCATTCAGTATCTGTGCTGATAATACCTATATTTTTCCATTTATTAGTGATTTGCTAACAATGGTCATAATATGTAGTATGGGAAGAGGAATGAAGCAAAAATACTACATTCTGAGAATTGTAAAAAATTGGTGCCCACAGCGAAGGCCATTGATGTAGATCACAGGGTAGGAAAACTCACAATGTGAAGGGTGGTGACTCATGCTGTGAGTTGTTCTAATTTAAACGATAAGAGTGGGAAAGTTGCTGTGGGAATGCCAATCTTTGTAACAAGCACAGTGTCTAGACAAGCTTACAGCCATTCAGCAAAAAATGCACACTGCAAGTAGTGCCGAAAATGAGCATGTTAACAAAATGTTACGGTCAGTGCCAGATACATTGCTACAGAGGTAAAACCTTCTTGTCCGCTCCCGCTCCAAGTCCATTTACATGATCTGGGGTTTTTTACTGAGCCCTATAGGTGTTCAGAAAAAACACCCTTGGATAAACAGCAGCGGAGAAGAGTATCTGTACAATTTCATTGTACCACGAAAGGAGGAAGAGCATTAGCAGAGTTCTTAACTAACAGGCAAAGTAAGTTTGTGGCCTTGATAGAGTATATTTGTAAATTGCTCTAAGATACAAATACATGTTAATACTGCACACTGCTAGCATGCCAATGGATGACTTCAAGCACAGTGAAAATCCACAGTTATTAAGAACTTTTACAGAATGCACAAACTTATATATGTCTAACTCCCTGTGCACTGAATGGCCAGCACACAGAATTGCAGAAACTCAGACACACATAATGCACAGCTGAGAAGCTACCTCATATCTTGCCTATTCTGACACTAGCGGCTTCCCCTTTTCCATTCTACAGGCAACTGGGATGAGACACTGCTAGAAAGAAGTCTACTTGGAGGGAAGAAAGGGTTTGCTTTCTTCTTCAGCCCAAAGAAAGTTTAGGTTCAAGTGGCATTAACTAATTTGACATCTGCAATGACAGCCTGATCTATCATAATATAATAATAATTTATTATTTATACCCCGCCCATCTGGCTGGGCCTCCCCAGCCACTCTGGGCGGCTTCCATAGAAACCAAAAATACACTAAAATATCACACGTTAAAAACTTCCCTGAACAGGGCTGCCTCAAGATGTCTTCTGAATGTCAGGTAGTTGTTTATCGCTTTGACATCTGCTGGAAGGGCGTTCCACAGGGCGGGCGCCACTACCGAGAAGGCCCTCTGCCTGGTTCCCTGTAGCTTTGCTTCTCGCAATGAGGGAACTGCCAGAAGGCCCTCGGCGCTGGACCTCAGCGTCCGGGCAGAACGATGGGGGTGGAGATGCTCCTTCAGGTATACTGGACCGAGGCCGTTTAGGGCTTTAAAGGTCAGCACCAACACTTTGAATTGTGCTCGGAAACGTACTGGGAGCCAATGTAGGTCTTTCAAGACCGGTGTTATATGGTCTCGGCGGCCGCCCCCAGTCACCAGTCTAGCTGCCGCATTCTGGATTAGTTGTAGTTTCCGAATCACCTTCAAAGGTAGCCCCACGTAGAGCGCATTGCAGTAGTCCAAGCGGGAGATAACCAGAGCATGCACCACCACTCTGGCGAGACAGTCCGCAGGCAGATAGGGT